ACGCCCGCCGAGTGTCAGCCAGTGTGTCAGCGGCAGGGCGGCACCGAATTACGAGCGCCGAGACTATCAACAAGTCCGGAGGACACGCGACACGCGCACGCCACACGCCGGGATGAACGAGGACGCTCCAGGAGTGCGAGAGAGACAGAGCGACAAAATTAGAATCAGGGCCGCACAGTGGGCCAGAAGACCGGTGGAGGCGGCCAAAATTCAAGACGCGTTTTGATCTCCAGAGTCGCTAAATGGGACTTGAACCGAACGTGTGACCCCACCAATGGATTGCCCTTCGAACGAGGAATCCATTGGTGGGGTCACACATTTGGTTCGGGTCCTGTTCAGCGATTCTGGGGGTCGAACTGCGTCTAGAATTTTGGCCGCCTCCGCTGGTCTTCTGGCCCACTGTGGGCCGTCCTGGCCGTCGCCAACGTCGCGGTCCGTCGTGGAATGGCGAGCAGACAGGAAGCGCCGCAGCAGACGGTTCTGTCCCCCTGCACACCTATAGGAACGCCCCGCGAGTGTGAGAGAGACAGCGCGCCGTGTGATTCGGTAATTTGAAACCATTACGGTTGCACCTTGCCTATTGTGACGCCGCGCCGCCAAGGCAGCCGGGCCGCCCCCCGCGAAGACAAGACCGCCGAGGACAGGCTGGGCTCGCTCCCCATGTTCTCGACGCACTCGTTCGCAGGCCCAGCCGACGAGGGGTCACACCGCCTGCGCCTGCGCTGCGCCGCACGGCGGTCTAGTCGGCCTAGGCCCGGCCAAGGGCCAGGCTCGGCGGCACCGGATAAATCAGGCATGACAGATAATAAGCCGCGGCGTAATAAATTCTGGCCTTGTTTTCCGTTCGTATCGTATCGGGGAACCATCGGGGAACCACCGGGGATGCGTATCAGACAGGGCAGGCCGCACCACACCCCGCGTGGTCCCCGAGCGGTGTCAGGACGGGGCGCGCGACGACCGTCACGGGGACCAGGACCACTAGGGCGAGGCGCGCCTTGCAGACTGATTCCGAGAGTCGTTTTCGTCGCCCTGTCTCTCTCGCACTCATGGGTCGTCACACGTAGATGTGAGAGAGGCAGGTCGACTGATTCGACTCTCGGAATCAGTCTGTCTGCTGGTCTGCAGCCGCCGGCCTCCCTGCTCCTCGTGCTTTGCTTGGCCTCGCGCCTCGCCGCCTTGCCGTCTGCCGCGGAGCCGCGGAGCGGAGCCCCCACCACGCCACGCCCCGCCCCCACCGAGACACGCCCCGCCAGTGCACACTCACACACACGCAAGCTCTTTTCAAAATAAAGATGTCAGTGGTGATTTATATCAAGTACTTGAGCCGTAAAGTGCGGAGGGCCGCGAGGGGGGACGGGGGAGGGGGAGGGGGCCGAGGTGTGAAGGAGGAGTGATAACTCAGTTACCGGGCAGACGGACCGACGCCACGGCCGGCATGTGTGTGAGAGAGACAGAAGAGGGTGGGGGCACAGACGCGGCGTGGGGGTGGGCTGACCCGGCCTGCAGGGGCCGAGCGAGCGCGCCGAGCGCGCCGAGCGCGTCAAGGTTCACGGTTCGCGCGCGCAGCGCACAGTGGGCCAGAAGATCGGTGGAGGCGGCCAAAACTCTAGACGCGTTTTGAGCTCCAGAGTAGCTAAATGGGACTCGAACCGAACGTGTGACCCCACCAATGGATTCCTCGTTCGAGTCCTGTTTAGCGACTCTGGAGCTCAAAACGCGTCTAGAGTTTTGGCCGCCTCCACCGGTCTTCTGGCCCACTGTGCAGCGGCGCAATCCTGGAGCAGAGGCAGAGCCGGGGCGATCCAGGAAAACTGGGAACCGATTCAATTCCCAGGAAACGGACGCGGCCGGCGGGATGGAATGCGAGAAGTTGTCTTCCGGACGACGTGCCGCGTGTCGCGAAAAAATGATAATGTAATCACTTCCACTTTCCCGGCGAGTCGGCGAATGGAACGCCGCTTCTGAAACAGCGCCACGACTACGCAGCCTCCCCCGCGCCCCGCCCGGCCCCGCCCCGCCCCGCCCCGCCCCGCCCCGCCCCGCCCTGCTCCCGGCTGCAGCCACGCCGAGTAATTTATTCTGTAATAATGAGAATGAGCCCCAGGAGCGCCGTTGTAACTCGGAATCACACCGCGGAGCCGGCCAGCCGTTGCAACCCCCTGCCCTCCCCTCCCCTCTCACCCCCATCGGCCCTTGCAGCCCTGAAGCTGCTCGAGGGGCGGCCGCCATCGCCTCGCCGCCAGCGGCAGCAGCGGCAGCAGCGGCGCAGCAATGGCAGCGCACCGTGTAATGGAAAGTAATAGAATTAGTCAGTCTGTAGTTCCATCAACGTCCGCCCCGCGGACTGTACGCAGAACGAGCCGGCTAGGCTGCAGACCGATTCCGAGAGTCGTTTTCGTCGCTCTGTCTCTTTCGCACTTATACGCGACGCCCCCGTCCATGAGTGCGAGGGAGACAGAGCGACGAAAGCGACTGTTTGGGCTGCTCAGTTTCAGTTTGCTGCTGGCTGTGCAGGCGGAAGGACGGCCACGTCTCGTTTTGCAGTGCAGGCGAGCTTGTGTCGGGCCCGAAACGGCATACGATCGTGTGTGGTCTAGCCCGTAATGGTAATGGTAATGGTAGCGCCCGTGGGTAGGCAACCCTTCGGCGGCAGCGCACGCGAGTGCTGCCGGTGCCTACCTCGCAGGCGCCGTCCCACGCGCCAGTACACTGATTCCGAGTCATTTTCATCGCTGTCTCTCCCGCCCGTGTAGGTACGAGAGAGACAGAGAGACAAAAGCGACTCTCGGAATCAGTCGCTGCAGCCCAGCTCCCGGCGGATGGAAACTTGCTCGAAATTCGGGGTGCTGGCAAGCGGCAAGCATGGCAAGGCTCGCGAGGAGAGTGCCGCGGCGAGGCCGGGCCGGGAGGGCCGCGATGACCGGGCCGTGGCCGCGAGGCGGGGCGGGCGCGGGCCGAGGGGCGAGCGGGGCGTGGGGCCGTGCCGGGCAGACATACGGCAGAGGGGCGGATTTACAGAGAGATGAACGCTTCCAGGGAGGGGCGGGGAGGGGCGCCGCAATCTAGGGGATCTTGGCTGCGCGTTTGCTCGCGTTGCCTGAGGTCACAGATAACTCAATAAAAGGGGTGGTGCAGGGATTGTGGGGATAGCGGGCGAGGGGGAGGGGGCGCTTGCCCAGTGCGGCCAGCACGCTGCCGGGCCTGCCCCTGCCACCCTGCCGGGTGACACAGGGGAGCCGCTTATCAGCTCGCGGCTCTACAAAATGGCTGACAATTGAGAGAAGGATTTGGGGTCCCCCGCATCCCCTCGCCAACCCTCAGTCTCAGTCCCTCGGCCGGCCGCTCTGCCCTCCGCTCTGGCCGGCCCCGGCCTGGCCGGTCGTGTGGTCTTGGTGATGAACCGCCCCACACTCTGCAGCCCCCGGCACCACATCTCGAGCTTGGCCGGGCCGGAGGGAAAAAAAGAGAAACTGATGGCAGCCTTTATGTCACATTAGTGCGACTGTTTTCAGTCCCCTTTTTTTAGGGCAGTTACTAAGTTGTTTTTACTGTGCCTTTTTTATTTTACCTTACGTTTACACGCATTTACATTCGTGTTTGTCGCGCTCGCTCACCAGATACAAGTACACAGGAAGACACATTGCGGGCGTAACGCACGGCACGCCGAGCCCGCGTCCACGTGGAAAGAGGACACGTACACCAACTTTACTCTCACACACGCACACACGTGCAAGAGTGAGAGAGAGCACCGGAGCGCCCCGCCGAACAATAAGGGACAGTTTATCCGCGAACATGGAGCCCGACCTCCCCACCCCAGGGGAGGTGGCCACTTCAGCCTCCCCCACCGCCAGGCCCTGCGTAGCCTGGCGTAGCCCCGCGGTGGTGGATAGCGCCCGTAATCTTTCGTTTATGGTGGACATGGCAAGCGGACCAGTGATATTCCTCCTTCCGCCACGCTGCCGCGCTCCGTCGCCTTCTCCATCCCCTTTTACGCGAGCAGCTTTTTTTGGTGTGTCCCGGATTCTCATCTTTTACGTCTCTTTTTCTCCTTTTTTAAAATCCTTGCCGCTGTTTGTCGTAGTCACGGGTCTGCTCCTTTGTTTCAGGGAGTTGGTGGTGTTTGGCAGTGCCAACAGGCGGAGTGCAGTTAAGGTCTGTCTCTCCCGCGCTTAGATCATCTCCTAGAGGCACGAGAGAGACATAGCATTAAGGAAACCACGTCTCGAGGAAATGGATCGCTGCACACCGCCGCGCTGCAGATTCGAGTCCAAACTAGAGCCGTAACTAAACGTGAAGCAGCTGCTGCTTCTGCTGTGCTCGCAGCGAGCCAAATGCCGGATGGGTTGCCTAACCGCGCGGGGCTCCTTGTCGTGCTTGGTGGCGCTGCGGGCACCGCTTGGCGCGCGTCCGTGTCCCTCCCGCCCACCGCAGACACTGCTGCACTATGCTGCACCCCCGCCACCGGCGACAAAGACAAAAAACAGGCGAGGACGGGGCGATGTTTTCGGATACGTGCGCGGTGCTGTTAGAAGAGCGAGGGGCGGCGTCGCGTGCCTAGCACGTGGCGCGTGCGGCCCGGACACGCGGGAGGCTGGCGGGAGGCAGCACTCTGATCGCCATCACAAGCTCACTGACGCTCCGCGCTCTGCAGCCTGCTTCAAAGAGCTCACCGACGCCTGCGACAAAGCCCCTGCCCTGCTTGCACTGCAGACCGATTCCGAGAGTCGTTTCCATCGCTCTGTCTCTCTCGCATCTATACGGGACGCCCCATGACCGCGACAGACACAGAGCGACGAAAACGACTCTCGGAATCAGCCTGCTGCTGGAGGGTGTGCTTCCGGTGTTGATGTTGGCACAGTGCACCAGGGTCGGGGTATCACGGTGACAGCAGCAAGGAGGGGCTGCACGGGGCAGGAGGCAGCCCCCACACCACAGAGCCAACACAGAAACTCCCAGCCCAAGTTCCAGCCCAATCAAGGCTTGATGGAAGAGAAATCCCATGAAAGGGCCAGTAGTTTTATTAACTTGTTGAAATAATCAAGAACTGAGATCACACAAAAATTTAAGGACAAATTCAAAGTTACAGTTGGAAAAGGAAACTAAGATTGCTCGTCAATGGCGGTGTATTGGTTTCCTCACAATTTTGCCTTTGCATGTTTCTGATTTGACAGCTGTGGGAACCCTTGTTATAGAGCTCTTTGGAAGGCAAGGGTCTGATGAAGTCTTAGCGCCTGACTGAATGAGCCTGCTATTTGGTAGGACTGAAGGCTGATTTATCTGGCACACTGTACCAGATGGCTTATTCTCCATAATCTTTCTTACTCCACTGCTTCCTCTCGATTGGGCTTCATTGGACCTGGCAAGAGAAGCATGGAAGATAAAATTTTACTCCACTTACTGGCAAATTAGTATTTAAAAAAGCAATCATTACATTTACCTGAAACTGTTAGGTCTAATCTCTTCGCCATGTTCACTCTCAATTTCAGGAGGCCTGTCCCTCACATCTACAGTGCTGTGATGGCTACATGCAGAATGCGCTCTTGATAAAGAGACAATGTTTTCTTCTTTTGCACAATCTCCTGAGCCAAACCCCAGACCACCAGATGAAGTCTTCCTTATTCTGATTTTATCCTTTGCAGCACTGCTAACAGGCTGGGCAACTTCTAGTTTTTCGGCACCAACAGCACAGACAATCCCAGGATCTGGTCTAAATTGTAACAACACGTCAAAAATTACATTGAATCATTTTTTTGAAATCTGAAATATAAAAACAATTTGGTAGAAAAAAAAGTACCTGGCTTCTACTTTGCTTGATTGGAAAGGGCATTTCCAAGTAAATATAGCACCATCATCACTGACACTTATGAGGTATTTGCTGTCTGGACTCAAACGAACTGCTGTGATTATTCCTGCATGTCCAACACCAATATGTGTGGTATAGCCTTCATTATAGTTCCAAACCTGGAAGTATAAACGTCCAAAAAAAATTGGATTTAGAGACCACATGACATTTTGTGATGACAATCAAATGCTTATTTTGAGAAAGCCATTCACAGGATTTAAAGACTATACTTACCTTGACTAAGAAATCATTGCTGCCAGTAACAAAAAAACTACCATCCAAGCTGATATCTAGCGAATTTAGAGCCGCAGCGGTTGAACCCTCAAGATCTCGTATGAGGGAACCGTCATAACATTCCCAGTATTGAATCTTTCGATCAGTACCTGTGATTAAGAAAGAAATACATGGGAAAACAATAACACTAGATAATATTTCTACCCTGGTTAAAGATTTCAAGAAACATTTCATATATATTTGAGATACAGAGCAACAATGAAGTGATAACTGAATGCTCAGCCCCCTTAGAAGACCCTTCGTACCTGCTGTTAACACTTGACACCCTTCAGGATTAAATCGACAAGCCATGAAGAGGGAGTTAGCGAATAGAATTTGAAGCCGGACCAATCGCCTATAAAATAAGACACAGAGATTTTAAAAAAATTTAAAACATTAGTTTATGTGCAGATTGGACAAAGTAAATATTTTAACAACATACACAATATCCCATATTATACAGGAGCCATCAGTACTCGCACTCACAGCTTGCTGATTATTTGAACTGATGTGAATATCTGACACTGGTCCCTTATGGTCTTTCAGGATGGCAGCTAGTTTGTGTACAGCAGAGTTAATTTTCCACACACGAACCTATGCAAAAGCAACTGAATTAAAAAAAATTATTTCCACTATTTTTTAATCATTTACAAATCAAATGGAACGTTAAAAGTATGATCTGGCAAAATCTTTCCAAGATTTAATTCACATATTATTACCTGGCCCTCTCCACCACCAGAGACTATGGTTGACCCATCACTAGTCAGATCTAATGCAGTAACTCCCTTATTATGAGCATTTGGGATTGTATACATAATCTTCCCTGACTGGGGAGTGAATGACCTTATGCATCCATCGTTCCATCCTTTGAATAGAATATACAAGCATTACATAAAATTCAAGAGAACAGGTAACATTTTGTCACTTACCACTGATGATTGATTTTCCATCAGCAGCAAATTTCACAGTTGAACAGGTGAAGTTGGGGACGCTTATTCTCAGTAACTCCTTGCATGTTTCTGTATGCCAGACTCTTATATCATCTTTGCTTGCTGTTGCAAATACCTCAGAATAGTCCCTGATGACAAATAACAGAGCAAAAGTGGTCTTTTCCTTAATATGAGAGGAGGAAATTACTTTGAACATTTTACTCACTTCGGAAAGGCAATGTCATAAATGCAAGTTGTGTGACAAGTGACAATTAATCGAACATTGAAAGTGCATATGTCTATTAAGTATATTTCACACAAATCGTTTCCAACCATAATGCCATGCTGTTGAAACTTTTGCAAGGAAGTGACAGCTGAGTTGACAGATGTGCTTTTCAGCTGAAACAAAACAAAATATTTATATATTTCTGTTCGAAAAACCATTAAATTACCAAGGGAAATTAATCAATTGGTGCTGTTTGGAAAAGTTGGGATCAAAATGATTGATCTCAGCCAGAAACAATAACTTCCAAATTAAGATAGTTGAACAAGTTAACTCACAACATTAAGAAGGGGGTAGGAGGGAGACTTTAAGCGATTATGATCCTTGAAGCGATTTTCATTTTCTCTAACCACTTCCACAGTGCCATCTCCAGCACCAATAACAAGAATTCGGTCTCCATTCTGCATGTCAAGGATCATTATGTCTCGCACTCCTGAAGAAGCAAATTTCCCATGAAGAAAGTCTGAAATTAAATTCAGTTAAAGTCACATGCAACAAAGTTACCTAGGCTATATCGTTCAGCCTCCATGTTCCTTTTCTTTGATCTTGAGACTTTACCCAAACATACAATCATGTTTGGAGTTCTGACAGGTTCTGTGATAGTTGTGTCCTCGGTTAAATATAATGCTACTTTAAGTATATCACCAGTCAAAGTTCCACAATATGCAAATTCATCTTGAGGATCAATCTAGCCATTCAAAACAAGAATAATTAATAGTTTCACTCTCCAGAGAAATGGTTGCACCATTTTAATAAAAGAAAAAGGAAACTTACGCTCACACAATAGATATTTCTTTTGACCTTACTCAGCTGAACATCAACAGCTCTTACGAACCTCTTCTCAGGATTGACTTGCCAAACACGTAAACTACCCTCACCACCCGTCATAAAAACTGATGACCTTCGGTTAGAATGTTTAAGTGTCAATGCATCACCTGCTGTAGCTTTTGTTGCAGGATAGCCTGTTTTGTTAAAAGAGAGAAAGACAGTTAAAAATTCTATTCAAGTTGAAAGGTGCATTCTATGGCAAGAACTTACCACACATAGGTTCAAGTGAAGGTATGTGCGTTACAACGACATTACCATCATCTCGTCCTCCCAAGGAAAATAAATAAGTAGAATCAAATGAGAAATCAAGAGCCTCGACTCTGACTTTATGAATATCATGCTTCATCAGGGCAGTTCGCTTTTCAAAGTCCCAGAGTATAACAAACGCCTAAGAAAACATGATCATAGTTTGCTTAGCCTGAAGAAACAATGCCTTCCCTGTGTTTTAATTAACATATAGCGTACACCAACCTTGAAACCCATATGGTTGATTTGACCTGATGCAACATATTTCCCATCAAGAGAAACTGACAGTGCAGTGATAACATTTGTGTGCCCTTCGAGGAAATCTTGTTTTCGAGAATCCCAATGCACAACAGCTACTTTGCAGCCAAGTGGATATAGTATGTGCTCACCATTGGGATGCACTTTCAAACCATGAATGGTTCTTCCTAATCAGAAAACGATAGGGAGAATACCATGGTCAATCATTAAATAGACACTTTATGTGAATAAAACTACAAACAGCGAATCAGTCACCACATTATGAGACACACCATCAAAACCAATGAGGGACAATAATTCTAAGTCATCAGTTTGATCTACTACGGGGGAGCCCATGTCCAATCTTTGTCCTTGATTGATCAGAAATTAAATACTTGCGCTTTTGAGTACCGACAAGCATACTAGAAGGTTCCCATTTCAGATGTAAACAAACACAGCATGTAAACAAAGCAGACGTTGTCATGGTAACGGGTTCGTCTCTTCACAGAAAGATCAATTATATGCAGAACTCCCTTATTTACAGAAGATTCAAAATTGAAAACTGAAAACCATTCCGTTGAACATATTTTTGCTTGTGCTTTTATCACCAAATTGGGTTTTTCTATGATCCAAACGTGAAAATTTTTTTACTTCCTTTTCGCTTAAAATAATTTATTAACGGGAAATTTTCTCTAAAAATATACTGAATTTCGTAGTTTGTATTGGCAAGAGCGTGCAAACAGCTTTCAACCGCCAAACGGGTTCGGTCTCTGTTTTGAAATCGTTTCAATATTGTGGAATCAAGACGCTGGGTGTTCAAAAGTGAATTTTGTGAGATCTCTGGTCTTCAGAATGGAAAATATTCCAGATTGGGCTGCCTTTGAAGCCGATCGTCTTAAATCATTCAAACGATGGCCTTTCAAGAAAGGCCCGTGCAATCCCGTGCAGGTATGCCTAAATATTTCACCAACCGTGCTGAGTTTTGTGATAAAACATTTTCTTTGTTCACTATTTTGTGTTCACCGTTTTTTTTTTAAGGGCGTTAAACCTGATTTATGTTTATTTTCTTGTATTTACAGATGGCTGAGGCTGGCTTTTATTTTATTGGTAGTAAATCTGAACCAGATTTGGCTCGCTGTTACGTTTGTTGTAAAGAACTTGATGGGTGGGAAGAACATGACAATCCCTGGTGAGTTGATCATTCTCTTATACCTTTATTCATCTACTCTCACTTCTTTCTAACTGGTCTGTATTTTCCACTTGACAGGCTGGAGCATAAGAAGCATGCCCCCAAATGTCCTTACGTTCTCTTGGATAAGAAACCTGCGGATCTGACTGTCAAAGATATGTACACATTGGAGGCAGAGAGAATGAAACGTGTTTTGGTAAGTGTTTTTAACATTTGTGAACGCTAGTGTTTATGGTTCGTGTAATGACACTGAATTTCCACAGGTGATGCGGCATGAAGCACAAGTCAAAACTTTGAATGAGATCAAAGCCTGTGTTTTGGAAGAGTTGGATAAACTTACTAATAAAGGTGGAAAAGATAACCGCAAGAGATCTACAAGGCCTGCTTCCAAGAGATCTAGTCGGAAAGACTGAGCTCTGCTGTATCTGTATATATCTGTATTGTCAATATCGGACTTGAAAGTTATTAATAATAAGCATAATTTATAAATCAGTATTTATTTTGAATCATTTCAAAAAAACACATCTCACTGAAGAAATCAAGTTTTTTGAACAACAGGTAAATGGCAAATTGTGATGGTAAAATAAAAAACAATTTATTATTCAGTAATTATTTTGCACTGAACTTATCAAACATTATGAACTACAGGTAAATAGCAATAAAATTGGTAAAACAAACATTTGTAATGTAGGGAAATGACAAAGAACAAAAAAAAATAGTAAGATTGGGTTTAAAAGGCATATTATTGATGCTCATCAGTATTCTCAACATTACTGCATATTTCTGAGAACTGCTGTAGGTTGTTCATCTCTCCAATAGGAGCAGTTGTTTTCAAGGCATCAGGGGTAGAAGAGAATCCGTTATCATCAGCAGGCAACAATACTGCTGAGCCAGCATTTTCTAAGTATGAAGTATCAGATGAAGAATCCATTGCATTCATTTCCCAAATATCTCCGTTTTCAGACTTCAAATCATCATCATCATCATACCTTCTCTGTTTAGGAGGAAGGCACATGTTGTAATTGCGAAAACCTGATGACCGTAGAGGTGGGTTTGCATGCAATGGAATGGCAGTTGGGGGACCCTGCAGCAAGTACGCAGGAATAGCAGGTGCGGCAGTGGGCGGCATATTCGATGGAAAGATAGGCAGTGGATCAGGCATGTACGTGGTCTCTTCTTTTAGGGCATCAGACTTCAATTCCTCATTCAATTTCTCATGAATGTTGTTAAAGTCGGATTGAATCAATGAGTCTTCAGGATCCCTAACAGGTGTCGCAATGGGTGTTTCAAGAGTTGGCATACTATCAGGGACTTTGGGAGGCAATGTACTTTCCATGATTTCGTCCACAGCAGAAAAAGTGCCAGATTCATCTCCTGAACTTGGTCTTGCTGACTTGAACGGTGAAGTGTCAGTTGTGTCTTCGGCTCCAGGTTGGCTGGGTAGAATGGCACTTGTTGGACTTGTTTCAACTTCAGTGGTGAAGCTTGTATCATCATCTGACTTTCTCTTTCTATTTGGGGCTCTCTTGCGACTAAATGATTTGGGAGGCTCAATCGGAGTCTTGAACTCGGAGTCTGCATCGCCTCCCATGGCATCCTTAATATGTTGTGTATAACGCCTTGTAATGCGTCTTGGAGTTCCCATGAGTTCACTATCACTTTTATCAGACTCTTCTTGAGCTTCCCCTCTTACCTTAGAACTAACAGGTGAGGCCAGCCGAGGTTTTCCAGTTGTATTCAAAGTTTTACGTCGCCCTCTCTTTGATTTTGTTTTGGGATACACCATTGTAGCGACATGGGCATCATTGTCTTCAACAGCAACCAGTTGTGATGAAGTATCCTCTTCAGTGTTAGGTGTATTTCCGGCATCAAGATCAGCATAATGTGGCATCTTTGGTTTTGCAGCAAGTAGTTGCAATAAATTATTGTCCTCTTGAGAATTGGCTACATTTGAGTTATCATGCTGGTGTGACTCTTTGCCATTGTCAGTATCTTCTAAAGAGCAATTCACCTCTGCTTTTTTCTCCCCTTCACATTCGTTCTTAAGGAACTTGTTTACTGGTACACTGATCTGGTCATGACTTTCATCAGCAGTATCCGAATCGTTACAGGATTCATTTGATACTCGCTTGTAATGGTGACATATTTCAATGTCATTACTGTCAGAATTAATGGCCAATGTTTTGAGAGCATCTTGAGAGCTAGAAACCTGAAACACAGAATTTTGGACCACAGGTTGCAGTAGAACAGCATCTTCATTGGCACAGAAGTTGAAGCTTTGTCCAAAATCATGTGATGTGCGCTTGGATTGGAGCTCATTTCCATTGAGGTCTGTTACATTTGAGCCTTCTTTTGGATAACGCTCAAATTCAACTGTGACCTAAAAATGTCATAACAAAGTGATAATATAATAATATAATAAACATAAAAATATTTGATAAAAGAACAGAAGTTTACTGTTAGCTACCTTGGAAATAAAGTTTACAAAATTACAGAACATTGTCCAATCAACAATGTGAGGATCAGTATGAACAAAAAGTTGTCCTTTGGTTGTTTCAATTCTGATTCCTTGCAATTTTCCAAACCCATGAGGATCGTCCCTGCAAGCAAAGTAATATAGGAAGTTAAAGCAAAATTGGAAATATATCCATTGAGGAAAACAATTGTAACAGAGTGTGCATAAGACTGAGTTCACTTACACGTTCAATACTTGAACTTTCTTAATTTCAGTAGATCTCAAAACAAAGAGACCCTCAGCAGAAAATTCGGTAGGAACTGCCTGCAGACCTGATAAGCTGATTGTTTTGGTTCCACAGTTCAAGTGTAGCCCCACCTGTAAGTATAACAGTTATGACAGGCATAACAAAGGACATGTGTGTAGGCAGTACAGTAAAGAATCTTACATGTCCGGCATGTGCCTGTGACTCATCCTGCCACCTCACTAAAACACACTGTGCAGAGTATAAGAACTGGAATTCTAGCTCATCATTGTAGATATTTAAAAAATCGCTAACAGATATCTAGAACAACAAAACAAAGTTAGAAAATGTTGACAAAATCTCACCAAGGCTGCCTTCAGTAGAGTGTTTTGTTATCCCCAACCTCGGAGGCAAGCAGATTCATAAAAGCATAGAATGTTTTTGGCCTTCCCATAAACCATGCTGCAGCAAACCAGTCATTATAGAGTTGGACTCTTTCATCGGAGATTATCATTTTCAACAAATGTGACTGGCAATTGAAATCTCCGCAGTATTCTAATACAATCAAATTAGCTTCCCTGTTAACACAGAAAGATCAAGTTTTAAACACCTGCTGGAAACAGTAGGGAAATTTCCCTTTATTCACAAGATACATACATCAGTTTCTTATGATTGACATCTCCATGATGCCTATTCCGTACAATTGTAGCACAGGCAGCTTGCACTTTCTGGTGAACTTCTGGTCGGTCGCGGTGCAAGTTCCAAATTTTACCCCACGATTCCATAGAGTCCATGGTCTTCTATGCTAAAACATGAAAAAAAAAAAAAAAAAAAAAAAAAAAAAACGGTGTTAAAAAAAATGGAGGACAGCCCACAAAGAGCTGCACTGATTAGACAAAACAAGGTCCAGAAGCGCCGAGAAATAACACTGAATCACCTCCCTAAAACTGAATCACAGACCAAACCACAAATCACAGATCAAACCACTGTAATCGGCAATAGTATTTCACCTTCCTATTCTTCTGAATAGATTGACAATCTAAAACACGCACCCCTACCCCTAGAGCCGGCCGCTGAGGCTGAAGGCTCGAAAGCATGGACGCACGCCCCTTCCATCGAACAAAAAAAAAGACATTTCGACGACAAAAGTCTACGACGTGATCAGACTTACTTCTAACGGGTCGCTAGCACAAATGCGTCTAAAAGCGCCCCGCGTCACTGCGCTGCCAATGACTTGTTGCTTGGCGTCACCCCGGCGCTTCTCGTCTCCTTCGCTAGGGCGTTGATGAGGGTGGATGATGGATGACGACTCGTGCCGGCATCAACTTGTTTCTCTTCTTACGGAAATGCAGAGTTGACAAAAGGGGGCGAAAGTGGGCGGGCGTCAGATTGGCCAACGACACCCGCTAAAAACAAACATATTTCTTCTTCCCTTCGCTTTTAGAGAAGAATATAGCGATATTCTCATTTAAAATTTGTTTTATTCCTTTTATTCTATCTTGAATGAGTATTTTAATGATGCGTGGAACCATTCATTAAACAATGTGAAAATTGTTTGGGTTGTTGATTCTCCCACCCCTACCGTTCTCGTTCTATCCCTCTCTTCCCCCTCCAACCCCTCTTCTCCTCTTACCCCTTCCCAAACATCGAGAAGCTTTCTGCTGTTGTTCTGTCAAAAATATAGAGTGTTTTGGTGGTTGTTTTTTGTGCATTCTTGCGCGACAGGATCAGGGATCAAATACCAATAAACTTCCGACTTGAACTGGACTTTCTTGTCTATGGAGGGTGTTACTTCAGACGCCGATTCCTCCGCAAACAGCACCACCAGCAGCAACAAGATATTTTATCTGGAGAGCCAGAGCAATTCGCCTGTGCGTCCTAACTGGAATGGAAACGAAGTTGACAGTTTGATAATCGCTCCAATGGACCACACCAACTCGCGTTACCCCTTTTGTATAGTATGGACGCCCCTGCCTTTCATAACGTAAGCCTTTCTACTCGTTTGTGTTGGTTATGTTTCTTGTGCATTTTTTGGCCTACCCCTAATTCATTTGAATTCTCTCTTCTATTTTGAAACAATCTTTATATTTTTCGCATTTAATCCTTGTTGTAATCAATCTTTGAGGACAGCTCCATTTCTTACAAGCTACCTTATTGGCTCATACCTCACAACTGACAGCCCTGTCATTCAATTATCTAATTACAAAACCAATCTATTAATGTTTCTTTCCAGGATTCCATTTGTTTAGTTACCTATAGTACTTTCTTAAGAATCATTTTCTATTACAGGTGGTTCTTCCCATTCATTGGTCACATGGGAATCGCCATGTCATCTGGTGTTATCCGAGATTTTGCAGGCCCGTACCATGTTTCTGAAGATGATATGGCTTTTGGAAAGCCTACAAAGTACTGGCAGTTGAAGGTGAAAAAAGCGAGAGGTGGTCAGAATGGGTGGGACCGTGCTGTCACTGATGCTTCAGAGGCCTACAAGAAAAGAATGGTAACTGTCAGAATAGTCATCCATAAATTAAATTAATCATGCTTTGTTAAAAGTTAAAGGTTCTCTTTTGCCCCTTTTCTCTAGCATAATCTATTTTGTGACAACTGTCATTCACATGTGGCCATGGCACTAAACTTAATGCACTATGATGACAGTACTACTTGGAACATGGTTCGCCTGGCTTTTTGTATTCTTTGGAATGGTAAATACGTTGGGTAAGTCAAAACATGTAGTTAATACCAAAAGTAATGCAAAATAGATTCTTAACTTTAAAAAAAATCTTTTTTATTGCAGGATTGGTGGATGGTTAAAAACTTGGCTTCCTTTCATCATAATAATTCTACTGGCTTATGGTGTATATTATTTTGCTGTGTAAGTAAAGGTTTATATGATTGATAAGAACCATCAAATCAAATTTTGGATTTAAATACTGTACATAACTGACTAAGAGATTTTGTTACAGGACCCCTAAGATGATGGTTTGAAGACATCTCTATCTCTTCCTTCCTTCCCACCTAGTCAAATTGCATCTTGAGCATCATTTTGTTGCTTGAAAAGAATACATAATTACTACTCAGTAATAATGAAAAATGCTTATCCTTTTCAATGTGTAATTTTCTCACATAAGTACAGTAGACTTAAGATAAGAACCTAGATAACGTAATTTACATTTTTTTAAAAACTAGTTGGAGAAAATATTATTTTTTTACAATTGTAGATTATGTAATTATGTGTAGTTTCAGTTGAAACTCTTTTTATTTTGGAAAATGTAACCTTTCTAGACAATTTGATATGAAACATTCCTATTGCTAACCTTTAGTCGAATGGAATCGCTTGGATACCATCTGTGGAAAAGCACTGAACTGATGAGACTGCACTTTTAGTAGGTTTTGGCATTTTAAGTCCAACAGGGCACTTGAGAAATTTATTTATTTCTGCTGAGAGTACCCAATGTCATGCATATCAAAAGAAGGAAAAGTCAGTGTTGATGTTCTCTCTGCCATGTTTTAAATAGGTTCATAAAACTATGAAATTATTTGGTGTTGACTGCATTTTCAGTCCTGTGGTGTAAACAAGTGTGTTATATTGTGGTATGTAACATGAATTTCTTGGGGCTGTATAATTTCAAGTCATGACCTGACAATATTTATTAAACCAGTTGTCAAAAAGTTCTCTGCTCTTTACTAAACTTTCAAAAAAAAAAAAAAAAAAAATTGAGGGAGGAGAAAAAGAGAAGATTGTCAAGCATAATTTATTTAGTATATCACATCTTAAGGGCTCTATTATAAATCATGCCATACACATATTAACTTAGCAACACATAGATTACCTTTCATTCTCTCTACAGAACATTCATACTTCAATTTACAATTCAATCGAACACTTATCAGAATAATATTTAATTGTGATTAAGAGGGCAAGTTAATTAGAGGAGTGAAACGATTAACAAGTGACCAGCCTTGAAGGGCACTCAGTCATTATAAATCGCCTGAACCCTGATTGCTTTCTCTCATAATTGAAATCTCATGAGAAAAGTCATATTTAAAAACAGATTCATTTTGATGGACAGCTCTGGACATTACTGATTTAAAATGGGCTGCATCACTTCTAGACCATTCACATGAACCTCCGCCTGATAGAGAAGATGAAAGTTTAAATGGCACATCATCGAGAGGATTGGATGGATGCACATCCTGGGCTGCTGAAACTACTTCTGCTGCTTCTTCTGCAGGGTGAACTTGGTAAGGAAGGGAGACCAAATTACTTTCATTTCCAAAAGCAGGATACATGTTTCCGTCTGGCATGGGTTTCCGCGTAACTACAACATAGCTATCATCTGATGGCGTTGACGGCTTTTTCTTCCCGAATCCCAGAAATGAAAGAGCCATTTAGCAACCTGAAATTTAGATCAAGAAAAAAAGAGGAATCATATTAGTTGACAAAAACAAACAATAAACACAAGAGCTGGAAGCACAAACACTTAGTCATCAACACAAAACAAATGCAATGATTGAACTTACTTTCAAGAGCAGGTGTTGATACAGCTTTCAGCGGAGTAAAAAAGTCAGCTATATAACTGACAATTGCTTCTTCAGTTTGCTTCAGTCACTGAGGCTGTATTGTTGCTGTCAAAACGTTGTCTGCACGAAACAGGAAAAGTGACAGAAGAAATTTCGTTTGGTTGGGACTTTGGGTCGGGAGAAATGATGTTCAATAACAGAAGAATCGTTATTTGCACTATCATATCATTACCAAGTCTTCCAAAAAAGTAAGGTAGTAAATATCTTCTGTTGAAGAGTGTCTCTGATTAAATTTTGTTTGTACGCTTTATTTTTAACTTCCAAAACATTACAGCTGCAACTCAATATTAAGAGGACATTGTACAAACATTGTATGGCAAGAAAACTTTACAAATTTTAGCATGTGAGGTTGCGCAGCTTGCTAACGAAAACAGTTGACCTTCACACTATGAAAAATTGTACAGAACGAAACATAGACAAGGACAGACTCTGACACACGCATTAACTTTGTGGTACAGGTGGCAGTGTTGTTGTTGTTACAGTACAGACTTGCTTGTCAAAAATAAGTCGTTTTTCTTACTGTGGAACATTTTTAACTTTTATAAGTGTGCAAGCAGTGCCAAAGTGCTTTGTCATTGGCTGCTCTTTTCTGAAACCGTTGGATTGGTTGCCAAACATGTATCAGTTTGCCTTGGTGAGTACAAACATGCATTTCTTCTTTATTTAATTTTTGGTTTCAGGTAGGCTCTTTGTTACTTTTCCTTGCGTGAAGACCTGTCCTCGTTTGAACACTAAACTGTCACCAGTTTTTCTGTAACTAAACATTAGTCAAAGCCCAATAGTGTTGTAGATAATTATGACATTGAACCTTGCAGAATGCTTTATCTCAGATTATCTCAGATTTTCTCTTTGTTGCAGTGTCTGATGATTCCTTGTTAATGGAGGTATTGCAAGAAAGAGTACTATGCTCCAAGAAATGCCAGTAACTCCTGCATCAGACAATGGTAAGTAATTTTGTTCATGGATAGGCTAAGTCACAGTCTCCTTACATTGTAGTAGAGACCCAATAAATATGGGCGAGTCATGCAGTTAAAATATTCTGAATTTCTGAATGATCTGAAGCTGAGTGGGACGCTGTTATCTAGTGCTAAGCTGTATGTCCTTAAGTCTCTAAGTGTGAATAGAAGGTAATCACCCCTCCACTGCGGACGAGTCACAAGTAGAACGCCCTCCGCAAGAACCCCTGTACCGATAGCACCGATGCTGTCCGTCCCTCCGTCCGCCGCCCCACCCAGGACATAACCACCGCCCCACCCCACCCCACTCCGCCTCTACTTCGCAGTTCACTTGGCGTCGCCTGGCGTCCACTCCGCCCACCGGCTATTTTTAGCCTTCCCTTGTGTTTTGTAAGCTGCTCTGGGTTACCATGGAGACGGCGCCCCACCGGGGCACCGCGGGGCTCGGCGGGGCTCGGCGGGGCTCGGCACACCGGGGTGCGGTGTACCGCCACCCCCTTCCGCCCACCCCTGTTACCCGGCGGAGGGGAGGGGGCGAGTGTGCGGGTTGGGGCAGCGAGAAACGCCGCGACCGAGGAACCGGTGCTGGCCCCACTTTGTGACGCCGTGACCAGGCGTGACTAGCCGTGACGGGACGGGCTTGGGGACGGGGGCGCGTGGGGAGGGGTTCCAGAGAGCTCTCGGCGCCGCTGCGCTGCCCGCTGGAGTCTGCTGGAGTCACTGCGCGCGGAGGGCCTTCCCCGGTTGAGGGCTGGCGTGTGTTAGTGCGTTGGTTTCGAGGCGTGACGAGGCGAGCAGGACTCCGGAGCCTCGACTGCGTGCTCCGCGTGTTCGCAGAGTCGGGGTAGATTCTGTCCTGTCGCAGTCCATCAGTCCGGCCGGCCAGTCCAACAGCCGGCCTTGCCTTTGACGTCACGTCCTTCGATTTGTTTGCGTATTTACTTTCTCCGAAAAGCCTCCCTCCCCGGGGGGTTGCACGCCGCCCGCCCCCCGCCCCACCGCCTTTGCCCCTCTTCTTCTCTGTCTTTCCCTTTCTTCGCCTCGCCTTCTCTCGCACGGTCAGTCAGCTCCTGCCAGGCTTAACTTACCTATCCCCCCTCCCCCCGTCCTCTTTCTGATGGTAGGTGCCCTCCCCCCCGCCCCGCCCGTCCCCTACACGCGAAGCCGAGTGCCGACCAATCGCACAGCGCGACCGAAATAGATCCAAGGTTACATGCATTATTTGTCTCGTGGCCACCGCGAAAAATGAGTGCGATCGCTGCGGCCCGCCGCCCCGCCACCGCGTTCGGCGCGCTCGGGATTGGGATTCGGTTCGGGACGAGTTCGGCCGGCCGGAGCGGCGCGTTGACGCGTCCGTGGCTTATTACCGCGGCCGGAGTAATTCTTTCCGCGTTTTGTTGTTGTTTGCTCTTTCAATCCGGCCGAATCGGCGGCGGGGCGGAAAAGAAGCTCGTTTGTTATCTCGCCTCGGGTTGTATGGCCGCGGCTCGTATCGATCGGGGCTGTCCTCTGCTCCGCAGCCACGTGTCCGTCCGTCCCGTCCGTCCCCCGGAGTCAGGTTAATGTTAAATGGACGCCGGGAGCGCCGCGAATAGACCGCCTGGCCGGCCTGGCCTCCCGGAGGGAAGACCGCGCTGCGCTGTGGCGCCTGTCACGTCCGGGGAAAGACAGGTGCCTGGTGCCTCTGACCCCAGCGGCTAGCGCTGTCCCCACTGTGTCCCCACTCACGCCGTGTCTCACACTGTAGGGCCCCACCTGCCTCCGACGGACCGACGCCCGACGGTGGCAACTCGAAGCGCGTCACCGCAGCCGCCGCGTCCCTCGCTGTCCCCTTGACTGGAGCGAGCCTGCGGGCCTGCACTGCCTGCACCCCACGCAGCCCAGGACCGCTATTTCGGGACCGGGCAACGCCAAGGCAACGCCAAGGCAACGCCGGGCAAAAGGGTTGGATCACATTCGGCACGCAACAGCTTCTCCCTGCTGAGGCCCCGCGCCCTACGCCCCGCTCCCTACGCCCCGCGCCCCGCGCCCTACGCCCCGCGCCCTACGCCCCGCGCCCCGCCCGCTGTTGTCCAGCGCGTCCTCCTTTCATAGCGTTGTCCTGGAGGCGAAGACAGGCCACGCAGACTCCCTGTTCGAACCCGATGCCCGCGAGAGCGAGCAGCGGAGCCATTCGGAAGGTCGGCCTGACGCTCTGTCTCTCTCGCACCCTAACGGAGAGCCCCGTGAGTGCGACAGAGACAGAGCGACGAATGGCTCGGCCGAAAGGGGCGCCGCGCCCCTTACGCGTCGCTCGCGTCGGGACGAGACGGGTGTCAGCGCCACGCCGCCACGCGCAACCCCCTTGCCGTAACAGCGTTACATCACCCACACCCACCTCGACCGAGCTCGACCCACCCACCCTCCGCCGAGAATGGAGTCCGAGCCCCTTTGGGAAGCCCCGCCCCGCCCCCGCCAATTAGAATAAAGTTTGCGCCGCCGGACGGTTGGCAAGTTGGCACTTGGTTGTCGCCCTGCTATCGATTATCGCCGCTGGGCCCTGGCAGCCCTGCCCATGCAGCCCCGCGCCGCGCGGCCCATGGGGCCCATAAGGCCCATGCCCATAAACGGCAAAGGCAGTCCCACTCTGAAAAAGGGGTTCGTTTTCCAGGAGTCGCCTGGGGATCCCAGGTGCCGCTTTTGCCGTGTAGGGCGCGGGGCCCATACGACGCGACGACGCCATGCAACCACCGCGCTATCCGCTCGTACCGGTTCCCGGACTGCGTCCCCGGTTTCGGCTTTGACCGGACGGCGCCGTGGTGGCAACGCTGACGGGGTCCAGGGGCGTGGCGGCGTGGCGGTGGCGGCCTCGGCACACTCACTCGGCCAGCAGGGTTGCTGTCGCAGTCTGTCGACTGATTCCGAGGGCCGCCTTCGTCGCTCTGTCTCTCTCGCACTCGTGGGGCGTCCCGTATAGGTGCGAGAGAGACAGAGCGACGAAGGCGGCCCTCGGAATCAGTCGACTGTCTGCCTCCGTCTACCTGCCCCGTGCATTTTCCGGCATGACTAGTGCATGCCGCTCGGTGCGGTGCGCGCGCGTCGCGACGCCGGTGCTGAGATTGCTGACCCCGTTGGTTGACTGCCTGACTGCCTCCTCGCTCCTCGCCACGCCGGCCATGCCATGCCATACCCAGCAGACTGGTTCCGAGAGTCGTTTCCGTCGCTCTGTCTCTCTCTCTCTCGCACTCGGGGCGTCCTCTATGGGTGCGAGGGAGACAGAGCGAAGAAAAGGACTCTGTGAATCAGTCTGCAGTCCGAAGGAGTGCCCGTCGTGGCCCTCCACGACAAAGCCCTGTTCGCCAAGCCTCTTCCGCGCGGTGTCCAGAGGACGGCGGGGCCCTCGGCCGGGCCCATGGGGTGTCGCACTGTGCCGCCCCTCCGAAATAGCCCTCGCCCTGGTCCGCGGTTCGACTGTGCGACTGTGCAGTGGAGTGACGCCCTCCCCTCAGCGAGACAATCGCCCCACGCCACAAACAAACCCCGTTGTTCTGGACCGGGGACCTGGCGGGGCCGGGCCGCCCTCTGTGTGCCTCTGGCTGACGTCACAGTGCGCCCAGAGAGACGCAGCACCCCGGCCAGAGGGAGGAGGGGGATTTATTTTTGTGGTTTGGGAACAACTTGCCTGAAATCAAGAGCAAGTAGAGGTGAGAATCCCTCTCACTCTCTCTCACGCGCTCACGTACACGCGCGCGCTCGCGCGCGAAATCGCGCCAGGGGAAAAAGGCGGAGGTGGCGCTGAAAAGATGAATGGAGACCGCGTTTCATGACGGCAACCGGGGGTGGCTGCGGAACGCCGCGGAACGCTGCGGAAGCAGGGGAAGGGGTCGTCTTGCGGACCAGCGGATCCCAGCGGATCGCGTCTTCCGAGAAGGGAAGCAAGGCGCGCGCTACACGCGTTTGTTTACGCCGCGCCGCCACGCCCCGTCCGGTGTCCTCTGGGACGCCTCTCGTCGACGTCTCGTCTCGTTCGCCGCGAGGTCCGAGATTTGTCCGTCACTCGCCTGGCGTGGCGTGCCCTGCTGGCGCGGTCAGTAGGCCTTCCACAGTGGGCCAGAAGACCAGTGGAGGCGGCCAAAACTCTAGACGCGTTTTGAGCACCAGAGTCGCTAAACAGGACTCGAATCGAACGCGCGACCCCACCAATGGATTCCTCGTCCGGAGAGCAATCCATAGATGGGGCCACACGTTCGGTTCGCGTCCCATTTAGCGACTCTGGAGCTCAAAACGCGTCTAGAGTTTTGGCCGCCCCCATCGGTCTTCTGGCCCACTGTGCCTTCGTCGCTCTGTCCCCCTCGCACCCCTATGGCTCGCCCCAGTGCGAGAGAGACAGAGCGACGGAGGCTCTGTTCGGAATGAGCCTGCGGGACAGGGTCCGCCCCGTCCCGGTCGCGCAATGACTTTTGTTATTCCTGTCCTGCCCTGCCGGCCCTGCCCTGCCGGCCGTGCCCTGCCTCCCTCTGTCTTCTAAGTTTAGGCCGCGCAGCGACGCGCAGGCCATCCGCGAGGTTGGAGGCCGCGCGCCCTGCCCGCCCCGCCCCGCCCCGCCCGGCCCGCCCTGCCCCCGTCCACGTTTAAATACCGCCACTAATTTTGGCGTATGACGCGCCGGCCCACACTTCTAAAAGTAGCCGCGGCACGCCACGCCGCACGCTGGCACGCCGTCGTGCGCGTGTCGGTGTGGTCGGAGGGGAGGAGAAGGAACACGAAGGAGCTGCAAGCTGCACCGGGGCCGCCGACTGCCTGGAGTTCCTGGAGTGAGCCCTGGAAAGGTCGTGTGGCTGGAGGGTGTTGCCTCGCTGCAGGCACTGCGTGCCGCGCGCTGATTGGACGGGGAGCGCTGCGAGGGCGGAGGGCGGCGCGGGCTGGCGGCGGCCTCCTCGTCTTGGCACCGGCTTCCACATTGTCTGCGGATTTTTGGCGTTTGGCTGCTTTTCCGGTGCAGGTGCCGCCGCTGCCAGCGCGGCCCGAGCGCGCGAGCGGCAGCCCCAGCGTCCCAGCAGGCGGCGGACCAAATTAAATAGTTTTCTGTGTTATATTTGAGCGTCTAATTTGATCTCGTCCTGCGGCGTGGCGCGGCGTGGCGCGGCGGGGTGCGCTGCGACGATGACACTCCGACGTTTGAAGGTTGGCCTCGGCCGCCCGCGGCGGCGTGGCGCGCACAGCGTAGCGGCCCGCCCCGGCCCCGGCCTGCCCCTACCCCGTGGCGGCGCGCGGCGTTGACGCGGTCTTCACATCGTCGTCACTCTGGTGTCACGGGAACCGACTTGGCGCGCCGCTGGCATGGAGGCGGCGAGAGGAGGCGCCCTGCGCGGCCCTGCACGGCCCTGCCGTTCTTGTTATCGGGATCTCATTACCGCACTGACCTACATTACGGCAGTCATTGCCGCCGCGCCGCCGCCTGCACCACCGTAACGTTTTATTTCGGCCGTCCGTTCCCGTTTCGTCACCGCCTTTGTAGCGCCCTCCGGCCCTCCGCCAAGCACCCCGTGCGTCCCATCCTCCAGCCGTCCTCGGCCTGGCTGCCTTGGCTGCCTCCACGTCGACGCCGCCCTCCCCGCGGCCGCGCCACGCCGCGCCTTGGCACGGCTCGGGTATCTCCCTTGATTTGAGGCTCGCTTTGTCTCCCGAACGCGACACGGCGTGACACGGCGCGGCGAGGTGCGCCGCCCGCGGTGAAAAGGCCGAAATGGCTTTTGCGTAATGTTGTCTGTCTCCCTTGATTCGTTACGCGAAACCGGCGGTGCGGAGGGCCCCGTATTTTTAGAGCCTGTTATGCTCGCGCGGCACCGTTTGGGAGCAGAAATAAGCTTTGCGTAAGGGACGCCCAGCGCGTCGTCGCGAGGGTCACGACCAGGAAGGGCCACCTACTCGCAGGGGTGCGCGTCGAGGCCGGCGAGGCCGCCGCGCTGGACGGCAGCCCGCGCCGCAGCGCTGTCCGAGCGGTCGCTTGGCTGCCTACCTCGCGGGCGCTCACCGCTGGCCGAGGAGCAGAGCAGGCTGACGGCGCTGTCGGCGCTGACGGCGGCCACGACGCCGAGGCCGCATGCAGCATGCATGGAGTGTGCGGCGGCACGGCGGCGGGCTGTCCGCGCTGACGCCTCGCCGTGACGCTCTGCTCAGCTCTGCCGTGACGCTTTGCCTCGCGGCCCCTTCCTTCCTCGCGCGTGGCTTATTCATGCTGCCGATGATGATGACCCCCTCCGGCCTGGAGATCCGCGACGCGCGATCCGCGCGCTGGCCCGCCCGCGTCAGCCTCTACCGGCGGAGGCTTTGCTCGCCGTGCTGCGGGGGGCAGGGGGCTGGAAAAGTCCGCGGGCAGCGCCGCGTGCATGCTCCGCTGTAGACTTGTTCGGGGAGTCGTTTACGTCGCTGTCCCTCTCGCACCTGTACGAGACGCTCGACGAGTTTGAGAGAGACAGAGCGACGAAAACGACTGTCGGCAGTGTGCTGCCGCCGGGTCGGTCCCGCGAGTGGGCAGCAGCACCGTGTTCCCCGTGTGCGCGCACCGCGGTGCCGTGCGGGCAGTAGTCCCAGGGTGAGGCCGATTCTCGGAACCGAGCTGTTCGGCGAGCTGCTGCCGCCCGGCCACGGCCACCAGGGTGAACACGTCGCCGTCAACGCTAAAGCTAATCCCCCGCAGCCCGCACGGCCCGGCACGGCCCGCACCGAGGGTTGCCGAGGGGTAGGTCTTGTTTACCGGCGGCGCCAAGTCAGCCAGCTCGCCGGGCCGGGCGCCGGGCCCGCCTGCCGGCCTGTCCGGGCACTGCCGTGCCGCGGTGGTGGCTGATGGCTGGCGGCAAGACTTGCTCTGCGGTCGGGACGCTGGCGGCATGGCCGTGGGACGAGCAGACGAGCACCAAAAGTGCATGCGCGTTCTTAAGCCACACAGTTCGGAAGCAAAACTCCGTCATCGGTTGTCCTCCTCGCATTCTCCGCCAAATTTTCCCCCCTTTCTTCTATTTGACACGACACAGAGCAGCTCACCCCTCCCCTCCCCTCCCCTCTGGACGGGGTTGTCGGACAAGAGGTTGGTAACACGGGCGCGGGCGCGCGCCTCTCGCCCGCTCTCGCCTCTCTCCGTTCCGCCGTTCCGCTGTGTGTGGAGCTTCGCGCGGCCGCCGCCAGGGGCAGCGTCGTCGCCGCGCCCCGTCCCGCGCGTGGCAGGCAGGCAGGCAGGCCGCTCGCTCAGTTTAGTTTAGTTTAGCTCTGCTGCCTCGCCGCGTTCGACGTGTCGTTGCTCGCTCTCGCCGCTCTCTCGCGCGCGTGTGTGTGAGTGTGTGCGCCCGTCTCGTGTCTCGTTTGCGGCCGCGGTCGTGCTTCCCGCGCCGGGCGCACGCAGTGTGCCACGCAGTGCGGCGCAGTGCCGGCGAATCAGTGTAGTGGTGCAGTGTTACTAGTGGTGCGTCGACTTGTGGTGCGAGCCCTGCGAGCGTCCGCCCAGACTTAGTCGAGCTATGCCCGCCTGCCTGGGACTTCCACGCGCCCCCCGGCGCCACGAGTCATGAAAGGTACGCTGGGCACTGCTCACTGCTGGGCCCGGGCCTGCACTGCGGGACGGGGACGACACTTGGAGCGGCGCCCCGAGCGGGCCGAGCGGCGCCGAGCCTTGGACTGCGTGACTGCGACGCCCAGGCGACGACGCGGCGCGTAAATTCGGTGTTGCCCGACAAGTGCTTGGCAGGCGCCTCGGCCTCGGCGGCCCTGGCCGGGCTGGCGGGGCTGGCAGCCGTCCTCGCTGCGCGCCTCACCCGACGCGCGGAGTGCGGATTCCGATGGAGGAATACAATAATAACACGGTGGCCGCCGTCGACGACGTGCTCCTCCGGCGGTCCGGGGGTCGTCGCCTTTTCACACGCCATTGCCGGGTAGCGAGGCCCCCGCGGCCCCCGCCCCCCTTGCCCACTTTCTTTTATTGTTTGTGGTGTACTAGGGGCAGTGTGGCTGGCACTCTGGCACACCAGTCCGGTCGCCAGTCCAAACTGGGCGTGGCGTGGCGTGGCATTCCCGGTGCGCGGGCAGCGCGGGCAGCGCGGGCAGGGAGGGGCGCCGGCCGGCCGGTCCGGCGGGTTGCTCGGTGCGGTGTCTCGGTGTCTCGGTGTCGTGCCGGTCTGCCCGACGGTCCGAAGCCGGCCGGCCCTCCCCGCCGTGCCGCCGTGCCGCCGCGCCGCCGCCGCGGACTGCGTGGATGGAGCGCCGGAAATGCAGCCGGAGAGTCAGTCGATCCGGAGTCCGGAGAGCGTGCGGAGCGGTGCGGAGCGCAGAGCGCGGGGCGTGCTGGGGAGGCGGGCGGGGCGGCGGGGCACATTGAACCTGCCGCTGCCGCCGCCGCCATCATAGCGCCACGCCGTGCCGTGCCGCGCCGTGCCGTGCCGCGCCGCGCGTCCGTCGTAAAGGCCACAGGCAACCTGCCGCAGAAGACGCTGATGCACCGTCCGCCTCCCCGGCAAGACGCCAACAGAGTTCTCCGAAATAAAATGTCATTGAAGAATAAGTGCGTCGGGTGTCGCTGACCCGCCGAGCCCCCTCCCCCTCCCCTTCCCCTCCCGCTTTTTATTCTGGCTTCTCTCTTCCTGATTCGCGATTGCCGTCTGTCTTGGCGAGCAGCGCGTTTGCAGTGCAGCAGCAGCCGCAGCCGCCGTGCCGGGCGGGCAGTCCCGCCGGCCGCGCGTGGCCAGCGGGTTGCCTACCCGCCGCTGGTACGGCGTTTTGCTCCTGCACTGGTTGTCGCCTGCGGTTGCTCTGGATGCCCTGGACTGCCGGCAGCTTGTCCAGGGCCTGGACTCCAGGCTGTCCAGCTTGTCCGGCCTGTCCGGCCTGTCCAGGCGCACTCGGGTCAGGAACCGCTGCGGATGCTTCCCCGCGATGTGTCCAATTTGCATACATTATTCCGTCGAACTGGGCCGTGCTTGGCCGTGCTTCGGCGTGCTTGGGCCTATCTCAATTTTCGCGTAATTATATGGCTCGTCCCGGGGCCCCGCCCGCCAGGCTAGCAGGCTCTTTCCGAACGGCAGAGTTTCGTCGCTGTCTCTCTCGCTCCCGTACAGGATGCCCCTTGAGTGCGAGAGAGACAGAGCGACGGTTCGGAATCAGTCCGTAGGGCTCGCCAGTCCGCCGCCACCAGGGGCCGGTCTGTGTGATTTCCCCTCCCCCCGCGTGTTCGCGCCCCAAACTATCACGCCAACGCCGCGGCGTGCCGTGTTCCAGTGTGGTGGACTCGTTCTCACAAGGCGCGTCGCCGAGCGCGTCGCCGCCCCGCCGGCGCTGGAACAGAAATCAACTTGCTTTGTGTGATTATGCTCTTTTCGGGACGGGACAAGCGGCAAGCGCGCGGCGCGGCCCTCAAGACGCGCCTGCCGGCCGATTTGTCGCCCTGTCTCTCTCGCACCCAAGTGGAGAACCTCACGAGTGCGACAGAGACAGGACGACGAAACGACTCTTGTGAATGGCTTGGCTGGCTGGGATGGCTCACCTGGTCATTATCCTCTGCCGTCTGGGGCAGTCTGGGGCGCGGGCGGTTGTGGCCCCTCCAACGCCGGGATGTGTGTGTGTGTGTGTGTGTGTGTGCGCGCGTGTGTGTGCGTGTGTGTGTCCACCCCCACCCCGCCGCTCGTCGCAGGAAGGCAAAACCGGAGAGACGGGGTGGAAAATTACGGCGAATAAGCGATGATGTGGATCGGAGTCGGGCGGGGCGGGTTGGGGCGGGGCGGGGTGCGGCGAGGTGAGGTGAGGTGGGGTCGCGGAAGACAAGTTCAAGGCCTCCCCGCCACGGCGCGGCCCGGGGGCCGCGGGGGCCGGGCGGCGCGTTTTGGGGGTTCGGCGGGAGGGAGGCCGACGCGAACGACGCGAGCCGAGGCGCACGGCACGGTGGGGCGTGGGCCCCCCAGCCTGGCAGCCCCACAGGCCGCCGCGTCGCCGCGGTGCGAGGCCTTCATCGCGGCTCTTGTCGGCCGCCCCATCAATTCATTAAACCGGCGGCCAAGTCAAGCCGTGCGACCTGTCCGCGTCTCTGCCGGGCACTGCCGGGGGCTGAGCCACCAATCCCGGTGGCATGCACTCTCAAAATCAGTGGCCCGGGCCCGACTACCCATTCTATCGTGAGTCAGAGTAACCGGGCTCGTCGGCTTAAAATAGCTCAAAAGAACCCGAAAATTGGTGAAATTCTGGGAATGTCGGCTGGTACGCGAACTACTATCTTCGGTCTCGCTCTTATCCTCAACGCGAGCGCAAACAGCGGATGACGTGGACGTCGTCGCGGGAGAAAGTGAAGACGCACCTCGGCGTCGAGTCCGCCAACATGGCGGATCGATGGAGATGAAGAGCGGGTGTGTCGTCGCTGTCCGCGGCCGGACCCACCCGCCCCGCCCCGCCCCGCCCCGCCCCGCGCAGCACCAACATCGTTTCCAACGGCAGGTCTTCGGCAGGTGCTCGCCGTGCCTCGCTCTGCCGCGCTCTGCCGCCGCACTACTGTACGGCGCGGTGCGGTGCGCGGTGCGGACGGGCTTACAGACATCGGTGACGCGGTGCGACGCGGTGCGACGCGGCCCTCCTCGCGCCCCTTGACACGCCACTCGCTAAAAACACTTTAATCTAATCGGGGCGCCGGGCTGAGTGAGTGCGCCCGTTTAAATCCCCGTGCTTGGCACAAGCTTGGCGCGCATTGCTTTGCGCGTCGCTCTGCCGCTCTGCGCGTGACGAACCGCGGCCGCGTCCCACCGCGTCACCCGGCCGGGCCACCGCCGGGCGGGGCGGGTGGTTTGCTGCCTGCTTGTTCGCCGGGCGGGGCGCTGCGGGACGGGGCGGGGCGGGGAAGCGCGGACTCCCCTCGGCCCTCGAATCGCAGCCATTCAACTGGGTAACGCGACGCTACGCGATGCCCGGCAGAACGCGCGGCACGGCACTGGGAATGGGGGCGCTGGTGCGGACGGGCCGGGACGCAGATTGGCAATACAGCGATTTACCAATGCCTCATCAACTCCTATCATCCGGCCGCTCAACTCGAAGAGAGAGAAAGAGGGGGAGTGGGGGGAGAGAGAAGGGGAGGGGGGCTTATCAGTGATAGGCCGCGTCTACTGTGCACCACTGGGCGGCGCGGGGTGGGGCGGGCGGCGGCGGTGGCGGCCCGGGCACGGGGCAGACAGATGCATGACCGACACACACACACACGCTTGGTCCCACAGTCCGGTCGCCCGCCTTGTTGTTTTTGTTCTGCTTAAAAGCCGACGTCGTGTCGTCTCGTTTACGTGTCGAGTGCAAAGGTTTTCTTTTCTAGTCGCGGTGGAAACGTTTTCGGCGGCGCGCGTGTTGGTGTTGTCTGGGGGTCTTCATCGTCGTCGCGGTCGTCGCCCGTGTTTCGTTGTCGGGGATGTTGTTTTGGACGATCGGTTCGTAATTTTGTGGGCTTTGGTGGAGCGGTACGATACGATCTGGATACGATCTGCCGCGGCTGGCTCTGCGGTCTGGGGGCTGTTGCTGCTGCTGTTGCTGCTGCTGTTGCTGCTGCTGCTGTTGCTGCTGCTGTTGCTGCTGCTGTTGCTGCTGCTGCTGTTGCTGCTGCTGCTGCTGCTGCTGCTGCTGCTGCTGTCTGCTGCTGCTGCTGCTGCTGTTGCTGCTGCTGTTGCTGCTGCTGTTGCTGCTTGCTGCTGCTGCTGCTGCTGCTGTTGCTGCTGCTGCTGTGCTGCTGCTGTTGCTGCTGCTGTTGCTGCTGTTGTTGCTGCACCCGGGCCAGCGCCGGGCCGCCGGGCCGCCGCGTCTCGTAACGGACTCGCTCGGGAACGCTCGGCCGGGAATCGGTGTCGCTCTCTTTGTTATTCGTCGTCGCGTTCCGCCGCGGATCAGAGGCTGAGTGTTAGGGAGAGGGAGAGAGGGAGGGGTCGCGATGGAAAATTTGTAGCGCGGACGGGGAAGAGTCGGGGCGGCGCGGCGGGGAATCGAACCCGTAGCCGCGAGGCGATATCGGCTTGACGGCGTGGAATGCGGGCCGTCCGTACTTGTACAGGTCGTGCACCGAGCAGCGCACCAGCGCCAAGTTTAGCCGAGGCCGCCCCGCCTCGCCCCGCCTCGCCGCGTGTTGCCGGTCTCTGAGCTCTGCAGGCTAATTCGGAGGGAGCGGGCGGAATGCACGCGAACTGGACTCCCCGCTGTCAGTGATTCCACACACACATGCACACACACACACACACTAACACGCACACACTCGCCTTGCCGCGTTGGACCTGGCGCTGGCGCCGAATGGCGATGCGACTCCTACAGCAGACTGATTCCGAGAGTCGTTTTCGTCGCTCTGCCTCTCTCGCACTCATGGGGCGCCACGCACAGGTGCGAGAGAGACAGGGCGACGAAAACGACTCTCGGAATCAGTCTCCAGCTGGACCGGCTCGGCGTCTCGCTTGGCTCCGGTGGCGCACTGGTGCGGCTCGCGGATCGAGATGGCCCCGATGTCGTCAATGTCATCTCCGGTGTGGCGGCGGAGAGACGGACGCAGCAGAACCCTTTCCGCCACCACTCCGAGAACCACACCATTTTTCCGCCTCGTTGGCGAGTTCGGTTTCGGGTAAAGGGACGCTGGAGGCGGCCAGGCCTCGGCCAGGCGGACGTGGAGGCCGCGAGGCAGCACTCGAGTCATCGACCCCGGCCCGGCCTGCGCCTGTAGGCCTGTTGCACTGGCACAGTGGCGCGCAGCGGAGGCAAAATTTTTCAAATTGGGACGACGGCGGCGGCCCACAGTGGGCCAGAAGACCGGCGAAGGCGGACAAAACCCTAGACGCGTTTTGAGCTCCAGAGTCGCTGAACAGGCCTCGAACCGAACGAGTGACCCCACCAATGGGCTCTTCGTTCGGAGAGGAATCCATTGGTGGGATCGCACGTTCGATTCGAGTCTCGTTTAGCGACTCTGGAGCTCAAAACGCGTCGAGAGTTTTGTCCGCCTCCGCCGGTCTTCCGGCCCACTGTGCGGCCGGTGAGGCCGATGCAGCAGCGGCTTGTTTTGGAGCGTCTTTGTCCGAGTGGCGCCGCGTGGCCACTGCCACCGCGTTCCCACAGACGCCGCCTCGGTGCCTCGGTGCTGGCGGCGCGCCAGGCCGTGCTAAATATAGTGGATGAAGGTCTTGCTGGCGACTGCACTCTCGGCCGCCTGGAGACTCGGAGAGGACGCTGGACCGCGCTGGACCGCCCGGCCGTGCGGCGGCGGTGGCGGTGGCGAGGACGTCGGGGACGTTGACGTGTGCCCGTCCGCCTTCCCAGAAGTTTTCGCCGCGCCGCCTCCTACATGTATTTATTTATGGCGGTCTGCCTGCCTTGCGTGTGTGTGAGTGCGTGTGTGTGTGTGCGCGCGCGCCTCGCTCTCCACGAACTCATTATTCCATACCGCGCCTCTGAATCATTTGTCACCGCTCGTCCGATGCGAGGCCGGGGACGCCGCGGACGCCGGGGACGCCGCGCCTGCCTGCGTTTTCACGGGACGCTCTTCGATTGGTTTGAACGCAGACGGATGATTGAAGAGTGTTCAATCGGCTTTTTGAACGGCCGTCGACTGTCTTCGTCGCTCTGCCTCTCTCGCACTCCCGCGGGGCTGGGCGCTCCGTGCGAGCGGGAGAGACAGGCGGCAACAAACAGTGGACGTTAATCGTTGCTTAATTCAGTGGACCCTCGCGTCTCATCGAGTCATTCAGTCGCATTCAGTCGCAGGTGGCGCGCACTGGACTTTTATCGGCTGTACTCTTTCAGCGCGCGCTTGAAGCTTAAAACTGGCAGTTTATCGACGCGCTTTATCTTCTATGTAAAAGGGTGTCTGTTTTTCCCTCCGCATGTGGCGCGCCACGTTTTAAATTTTAAGGACCAGTGCGGTGTTGTGTGTGTGCGTGTGTGTGTGTGTGTGTGTGTGTCTCAGCTGCGCTCCGTTTGTTTCCCTTGTTATTTTTCCGATGAGAGCCTCTCTCTATTTTTACGCGTTATTTCGAGCCACATGTGTGTGGGGGCGCGCCCCGCGCTCCTCTAGGGACAACTACTTTTAGACGGCAGCAGCAAAGGGCGTGTGTGTGTGTGTGCGTGCGTGTTTGTGTGTGCATGTGTGTGTGTGCGCGCGCGCAAAAAACGTCTTCCAATTCAAAGGGAGTCTCCGTAAATTTGTCTCAAAGAAGTTTTCTTAAATTTAAACGAAAAATCATTTTTGATGCAAAGATATTTACTGTTGACGTAAAGAATAAAAACAAAATTGGTATGTAAACTTTGTTGAACTGATGGAAAGTATTTTTGAGTGTGTGAACAACGAGAAGTGGTCGTTGTGCGTTGATCCCGTGTCCGGGCCGGCGGGGGCTGGCGGGGCCGGCTCCGGTCCGCCTGGAGTTTGCCCGCTGGAGTGGCCTGGAGTCAAACTGCAGCGGCGGTTTCCTCCGCGATAAGTCCCCGTTAGGCCTTCAGCCTTCAGCCTCCGTTTGGGCGCGGCCCCCTCCCCTCCCCCTCCCCTCCCCTCCCCTCCCCCCCCCCTCCCCTCCCCTCCCCTGCTATCATATCGGCCGGGCGCGGCCGGCATGGCGCGTCACGGCTGATAACGTTGTGAAACGGGCAGCGCAGATAAGCTGATTTGCATAGAGGTGCCCACACGCGTCTTTCTGTCGCATCGGTTTGATGCACGCCTCGCGGAAAGTGCACGACGCGCGCGTGTCTGTACGACGGCGGCCTTTCTGTTTGTCCGTCCGAGGAAGGTTATTTTATTTTTCTGGTTTATTTTTACGCCTGTCTCTGCGACGGCGGCGTGCCGCGGCTGCGATGTCGTGCGCGGCGGCGCGCGCGCGCGTGTGTGTGTGTGCTGCGGTGAAACCGGCGCTTTTGCTTTCATCAGAAAGCTATATTTGTGAACAGAACAGACCAGACCACGCCACGCCAGCCAACAGGCCTGGTGGAGCACTCTGAAAAAATGAAACCCGGATCTTTTTGTCTTTTGGGCGGTGGAGGCGCGGTGAATCCGCATCGTTTCGGATATGTCGGCGATCGTGTTGATGGCGGTGATGCTTCCACGACGCCGTGCTTTCCTCCCCTTCCTTTTCCTCTCCACGACTGTGCGCCACGCGTTTTCGGAAGCGTGATTCACTTTAAAAATAGCCCACGCGATTCTGGGAATGGAATGGTCTGGTCGGCTTGGGCAATGTTGTGACGCGCGGGCCGCGGAGCGGGTCGGGTCGGGTCGGGTCGGGCCGGCGTCTTTATCACCGCTACCATCCGACCGGCCGGCCCGCGGCCCCGTGGCCCGGCCCATGGCCCTGGCCCTGCGCGCCCCGCCCGCCGCGCCCCGCCCCGCCCCGCCAGGACAGCCCGGGACAGCGTCATCACCTGCCCGCGGTACACCTGTTGCCCGTGACGTCAGGCCACGCACCCCGCGGCTCTGGCAGCGCGCCCGCCGGCGCCGTCGAGTGCGTGGGTCGCGGGTTCGACTCTTCGCGCCGCCGGAGGGCGACGACGACGGCGTTTCGGCGGTGGCGGCGACCGCCAGGCGTACTCGGTGTTGGACTAGGTCGGGGAGGCTGCAGCACGCGTGCGGCGTGTGTGCGCTCGAGGGCCGCGGGCGTGGCGGCGCAGGCAGTGGCGTAGGTAGCGCGCCACGCGCCCCCACGCGCCGCCACCCCGGCGAGCGCGCTCTGCGCCTGCAGCCTCGAGGCGCTCGAGGCGGCCGCTGCTTTGTTTTGGTCCCTGAAATAGAGTTGGTCCTGTTTCCACACCTATTCATAGACCGGGCCGCCACGCCCCGCCACGCCCCGCCACGCCCCGCCACGCCCCGCCACGCCCCGCCACGGCGGCGGTCCAAGGGCCGCGGAGAGGGCGCCGGGCTGGGCACTGCCGGGGCACTACGCGGTACTGGACGAGGTGGTGGTTGGCGTGGCGCGCCATGGCGGTTGGTGTGGCGCGGGCTTCTATTTTTGCGAGGCGCCTCCCCTCCCCCTCCCCGACAGCGCGGCGCCGCCGACATCTCCATCCATATTTATTTTGGTGCCATTTTGGGGCCCGTTCCTCGTTCCACTCCACGCCACTGCGCGCTCCGCGCTGTGCGACGCCGATCGGAGAGGGGTGCAGCGGGGCAGCGGTTCCCGTGGGAACAGCACGTCGGGCGCTGTATCTGATGTGGTGCGTCTTGTTGGTTGCAGTTAGCCGCTGCTAGCCACCCTGTTCGGGCAGCCCAGCCCGCGCCCCGACGGGCACCGGCGTCACGGTGATGGCCCCGGCGATGCCCCAACGATGCATCACCACGAGCAGATAGTAGGTGAGTCCCAGAGTCCCAGGGAGGAGCGGCCAAGCCAGGCCAAGCCGGCGTTGCACGGCCAGTAGATTCCGAGAGTCGTCTTCGTCGCTCTGTCTCTCTCGCACCTACACGGCACACCCCATAAGTCCGAGAGAGGCAGAGCGACGAAAACGGCTCTCGGAATCGGTGTCTGCTGGGCTGCACAGGCCTCGGGCGGCGGCGCAGCGCGCGGGAGGGCCGCGGGCATAGTCTCACCCACTGATAAGAATGGCCAAGAATAGCCGCCGCCGGCCGGCCGGCCCGCAGTGCAGTGGCGCACCAGGCGCTCGACGCACCAGGCGCGCCTAGCGCCCGGAAGGGCACCGCGACACCACACCCGAAACTAGTGCTAGTGGCGGCAGACGTGGCAGTCTCCCTGGCCCTGGCGCCAGCGACGAGTGTTCTTGTTCGTGTTCGCCTCGCCGCCGGTGATCACGCTCATCTGACGCGGGTATGTCCCTGTACATCATGGCGGTTCCGCAGCTCGCCGTCGTCGCTCTGCAGGAGACATGTGTCTCTCGAACGCGGAGGGTGTCCCGTTTATGTGTGGGAAGCAGCGGTGGAGGGCAGGTCCTTCCTGCGTGCGTCGTTATCCATGGAGCCTGGGCCTGGAGAAGACCCCCGTGTGGGTGTGGCCGGGGATCGGGAGAGGGGGGTGGGGGCTCGCCAGCGAACTGCGCACTACGACGCGCTGCCGCTGCGCTGGAGCCAGCCTTGGGCCCTGAGGCCTTGTGGCGGAGGCGGGGCGGCGAAGGGAGGCCGCCGTCTATTTTTAGCCAACCTGTTAGCCGGCCTGCTTGGCCTGCTCGATGCGCCGAGGCGGGCTGGCTGGCGCGCTGGCGCTTCGCACCGGCAGCACGACGACTTGTCGACGACGCTGCTCGCGGCTCGGCGCGGCTTGGCGCCGTGCTACGCGCCCTGCCTGCTGCCCGTTGCACCGCTGCACTTGGAAATGGGTCACTCGGGGCTGCGGCACTGCGCGGCCCTCGCGGCCCCTTGGCGCGGTCCCCGCGGCCCCACGGCGCTGCCCTACCCCAAAGCCCCTCTCTCTTCCACGGCGGTGTTGTGCCGCGCCGCCGCGCCGTGCACGTGGTTCGCGGTTCGCGTCTCAGACGACGGCAAATACGAAGATAACCGCTGTTTAAATACCGTTATCGCATCGCGACGATGGTGGCCCGTGCTGGTCGGGTGAGCGCCCGGCCTGGCGAGGGTAGGCAACCCGCGGGCAGGGGTGCGGCCGGGTGGCCTGCCGCCACGGCGCTCTGCCGGGCCGCTCAGTGCACTCCGACGCCGAGCACTGCTTTCGACGCTGTCTCTCTCGGCCCCCATGAGTGCGAGAGAGACAGAGCAATGCTCCCTTCCTATTCGTGCAAGCCGAGTCCGCCGTTTTGGTAGCGCCGCGCCATTGGTCGGAGAGGCCATGCCATGCCGGGTGTAATGTGGGAAAGGAAACGGCGGCCGGGCCGCGAGCCAAAGGTTGTTCTTCGCGGGCTGCCACTGCACTGCAGGCCTGCAGGCTGCGCCGTGCCGATGGACTTGTTGACGGCTCGCCTGCACTGCACGTGCACGTGGCGTCCGCCGCGTCCGCCTGTCCACCGTGGGAATGCCGCCGGTGTTCGGCACGCCACGCCGAGCGGCACGCTGCACTGGGAAAGGAGGAGGGGGACGATTTTTTCGCGGGGCGTTTGGTCCGCGTTCGTGCGCCGCGCCGCCGCACTCGGGTGGCACGGGCCGCGGGGCGGGGCGGAGCGCGGGACGGGGACCACACCGGGGTGCTTTCGGCCCGGCCGCGGTCGCGTGACACGCGCCAGATAAAACTACTGTATCGATTGTGTCGTTGAAAAGGGAGTGCTAACGATTGGTTTTGTGTGTTCCAGGAGCTGTGTCGGAACGTGCAGGTGAGCAGATCAGCAGACTGATTCCGCGAGCGTCGTTTTCGTCTCTCTGTCTCTCTCGCGCGTACACGGCGCGGCCATGAGTGCGAGAGAGACAGAGCGACGAAAACGACTCTCGGAATCCTTCTACAGCGTGACGCCGCGACGCGATGGTATGGACTGATGTGGCTCTTTCTCTCTGGTGCCCCTTGTTGGCGCGAGAGAGACCGAGTGACGAAGTGTCGTGCGGAATCAGTGTGGGGTCTCGGTCCGCCTGTGACTCGGCTGCCCCTCGCTCGCGGGCCTCGGCCAGCCTCGGCGCGCCTTGACCCAGTGGCGGCTGGGCGGCTGTTGTTTCCTTGTTGTGGCTGGAGGCAAGGTTGGGGCGGAGGGAGGGACGGGCCGACGAAACGATTCCTGGGAACGGCTCGGCGGATTCCAAGCGGATTCGGCCCTGATGCGGGGCTTGGGGATGACTCGTGAAAGTTGATGCGGCGTGGCGCGGTGGTCGGTGTCGCCAGGGTGTCGCAAGGTGGGGCGACGGGAGACGCGTGGACGGACGGGGACCGGCGGGGACCGGCAGCCACCGGCAACGGACTGCACGGACTGCACGTCGCGAGACGAGGACGCGCCGCCCGGCGGGTACTCGACACATGTCGCAGCGCAGCGCGTCGCCGCGTCGGAACAAGACTGCCCTGCCCCTTATCGCCTTATCTCTGAGTGGCGGCCCGATAGTGGCGTCCCGTTTTGATCGGCGCGAGGACCGCGAGGACGCGCACCTCTCGGATTTCGGAGGTTATTGTAGCCCTGGATGATGAAGGCGGCGCTCTGGCGCTACGGACGCCTCCCCCCCCCCTCCCCTCCCCCGTTCGGGAGCGGGTGGCGCGGAGGACAGAAATAGCTCCGAGCCGGGGCTCCGGCGTGCCCCTCCCTTCCAGTGCCCGGAGTCGTAGTCGCGGGCCCCGCCAGGGCCCCGCGCCGCGCGTGTCCTCCCACTCCACACCGCGGGCCTGCGGGCTGACTCCGAGAGTCGTCGCTCTGTCTCTCTCGCACTCATGGAGCGTCCCGCACAGGTGCGAGAGAGACAGAGCGACGATAGAGGCTCTAGGAATGAGTCGACAGGCCGCGGCGTCGCCGTGGTGCTGTGTTGTGCGCCAGCGCCAGCTCCACCTGCATGCAGTAGTAAACGTGGAGTGGAGTCACCGCTCCATGCGGCCCGCGTTGATGCCGCAGCACAAGTCAAGCGGCGTCGCTAACGCTAACGTCGAACCAGTCAAGTCCTCCTTCGCTTCGCCACCTGTAACCCCCCCCCCCTTCCCCTCTCCCTCGACTGGTGAGCGTGGGAGGGAGGGGGCACGCTGGCGAATTGCGCTGGGGAAGGGGGCCACAGTGACTGGGCGTTATTACGCCGGCTAAAAATAGACGCCCCTCTCCGCCTCTACGTCTCTCTCGCTCGCTCCGCCTCTCTCTCTCTCTCTCTCTCTCTCTCTCTCTCTCTCTCTCTCTCTCTCTCTCTCTCTCTCTCTCTCTCTCTCTCTCTCTCTCTCTCTCTCCCCCTCTCTCTCTCTCTCTCCCTCTCGTCGTTCTGGAACGTGTGGCGCTGATGGCCAGTGATGCGGACTGACGTCACGTCACGGCCAGTGTGTTTGGAATGGTCCGCCCGACCATCGGCCATCGGGCATCGACTCCCTCGGGCGCCGCTCGCGCGCTCTTTGGGAACCAGGTCAGCGCTTTTGGCTATCCGCGGCTTACGCTAGGACCAGCGGCATACTGATTTCCGAAGAGTCGGTCTATAGAGGCCTAACAGCGTTGATGATGATGATGTTTCGTCGCTCTGTCTCACTCATGGGGCGTCCCGTGTTGCGGTGCGAGAGAGACAGAGTGACGAAACGACTGTCTGCAATGTCGCTCGGGCAGCGCACCGCCTTGCTCGTCTCCGAGGCGCTAACCTGCAACACTGTGGCAGTGCACGCGACTGTACGGCCGCAAGTGCCAGTGTGTTGCCCCCCCCCCTTCCCTCTGGATCCGCGTCTGCGGGTCGCGTCGCGGGGCCGGGCCGTCCGTCCTGCCTGTCCTGTCGACTGACTCCGAGAGTAGTTTTCGTCGCTCTGTCTCTCTCGCGCTCATGGGGCGTCCCGTATAGGTGCGAGAGAGGCAGAGCGACGACTCTCGGAATCAGTCTACGGTCCAGCGGCGCGGCTTGGCGGCGCGCGGCGTGTATCCGCAGCGATCCGGTTCTTGTTACTCCAATTGGCCGGGCCGTGCCGCCGCGCCTGCCACGCCAGGCGCGCACGGGCACGCCGCCGGCCGCGACGGGCAGCCGGTTTTACCCGCTTCTGTTTCGGGAAACGGGCGGAATAGGACTGCCGGCCGTTTGACGCGACTCCGCGACTCGAGACGCCCCCTTCCATGCCTGAACAGGCCGCGGGGTTCGGACCTGGTCAGCCGCCTGCTTCTCTCTATCTCTTTCGCACTCACGATTCCTCATGAGTGTGAGAGAGACGAAAACGTGGCGCAGATGGGACCCAAAAGGACAATTGCCCCTCCTTGCCCCCTAGATAGCCACCTGAAAGGTAGGCAAAAAGCAACACTTTCCCTCTGTAAGGAGGCAAAAAGTGCTACTTTGACACACACACCCCCTCAGGCAGGACGTCGCTGAATCCGCTACTGGAAACGACCCTGCGGAATCGAGCACGGTGTGTCGCCGTGCTAGCCCAGCAGGGCTCGGCCGTGGCGAGGATGTGTCCCAGTGCGTCCCTTCCTGCCGCCCGTAGGAAGGTGGCACGTTGCACACGTAGTTGGGCAATCCCGAAACACGTATACCGTCGCCAATCCATCTCCGCTCCCTCTGCCGCCCCAGGCCGTGTCTTGGCTGGCCAGCCCATTCCGCGGCCCCAAGGACTCCAAGGACGACCCGTTCATCCTTGGCACGAGACACCTATTGAGCCTGCTGGCCGCTGTCTTGGAGGAGGGGCGGCGGGGCGCTACACAGTGGGCCAGAAGCCGGTGGAGGCGGCCAAAACTCTGGACGCGTTTTGAGCTCCAGAGTCGCTAAATGGGACTCGAACGGAACGTGTGACCCCACCAATGGATTGCTCTCCGAACGAGGAATCCATTGGTGGGGTCACACGTTCGGTTCGAGTCCCATTTAGCGACTCTGGAGCTCAAAACGCGTCTAGAGTTTTGGCCGCCTCCACCGGCTTCTGGCCCACTGTGCGCTAGGGTCCTCCGCGTCGCGTTCCTGGCCCCGGGCCGCCGCCGCTCCGGTTTGCGAGTAGCACCCCATCGGCGTGGCGCCTGGCCGAGGCGCAGCGCGTAGCGGTGCTGGCGGACGTCAAGCAGTCTGTGTTCCGCTACGCAACGCGTGGCCGCCGCGTTCGCTTCCGCCCTCCAACGTGCACGTGTCCGTGCACGTGGCGCGCGCGATCTCCGCCTCACTCTCCGCGTGACAGCGCGACAGCGCGGCTCGGCGTAAAAATACGAGGCGGCTAAAATTGCACAGCGGCGCGCGCGGGGGCCGGGCCGGGCCGGGCCGGGCCGGGGCAGGGCGGGGTCGGCCAGTTCCGCGGGTGACAAAGTCGTATTGTTTTGGCTCCGCGCTCCGCCACGGCGGCCGCCACGCCGCCACCCCCACCACGCCGACGACGACGGCAGCACGCCAGCCGCACGCCAGGCGTGTGATGATGATGAACTGTCAAAGGGCGACAAGGCCGCAACTCTGGCGGGGCCCCGCGGCAGTTACAGCCGCGACCCGCGCCGCCGTGTTCGCCGTGCTCGCCGTGTGCGTCCGCCGACATTGTCGGCGCCCGCATATTTCGCGCGTTGCTCAATCGGTCCGCGCGTGGCTTCGCGTGGCCGGGCCGGCGGGCCGGCCGGGGTGTGAGAAAACACTGGGTCGGCCCGAAGCGCGGCCACCGACCGGCCCGCCGCCGGCAGCCGCAGAAAAATGACTGGCTGTCCGCTCGGACGCTTTGCCTCCCGCTCCCGCGTCGCGCTCCAAAGATTCATCTCAGTGTGGCTTTCGTTTTCGCGTGTCAGCGTGACGGCGCGGGACACGCTTTGTGTGTGAATCGAGTTGATGAGGCAGCCTCTAGCGGCTAGGGACGGGCGATTTCCAAATTTTAGTATCGCGATTGCGATTTCTCATATATCGCGATTTCATGCGATTAATCGCAAAATCGCAAAAAATCGCAAGAATCGCTAGAATCGCAAAATCGCAAAAATCGCAACAAACGCACAATACTTATAATACCATTATGGCACAAAATCTTTTAAAAGTGCAAACAATTCCTGAGTGGTCAAAGGCAGGCTAGTGGCACCGACAACACGCGCCAGCCTCGTTCGTGCAGTGTCGCGAATCCATGCACGGTGATTTTTGCGATTTAGCGATTTTTTGCGATTTTGCGATTAATCGCCGAGGTTCAAAAACCGAAATCGCACCGCGATTTTTTGAAAAAATCGCATCGCACCTGCGATTAATCGCAAAATCGCCCGTCCCTAGAGAGTCTAGCCTGACCTAACCTAAACACCCCGCCTGTCGACTGATTCCGAGAGTCGTTTTGTTGGTCTGTCTCTCTCGCACCTATGCAGGACCCCATTGAGTTCGATGAAGACAGCGAGGAAAACGACTTTTGGAATCAGTCCGTAGGCGTCGGCGCGAGGGGGCAACCACTCTAGAAATCTTGTGTCCCCTTAGCGCTAGAAATCTTTGGGAAATCTGAAATCTTGTTCCATAAAAGGCCAAAAACAAACTAATTTTGGGCGGAATATCGGTTAAAATCTTGTGAAATCCGGCGAAACCTTTAGCCTTGAGAAATCTTGTGTCCCCATACATACAATGTGGTTGCACCCTCGCGTCGGCGTCAGCCTCTCCGAGGAAGACGCCGCGCGCCCTTTGCCCGCCGCCAAGGCCGTGGTTGTTGTTCACCTGCGTCATTCGTCACTGCCCGGGCGGAGGGTACGCCGACACCACCCCGTCGGCGCTTCCGCGACCTCCCGTGTCCGCGGCCGGCGGAAACACGATTGTATAACCGGGTGATGCGACGACGGGCGGGGATGACGCGCGCGCCACCAGCCTGCGGGGCTGTGCTTGCCGTGCTCGCCGTGCTCGCGCTGCGCGGGCCTTTGGCGTCAGTGGCGCGGCGCGGGCGGCAGCGACAGGTGCCCTTCCCTTTTCCCTCCCCGTCCGCCACGGCGCCACGGCACTGCTCGCTGGGTCACGCCCTGCATGCTAATTGTGTGACGGGAATAGACCGGGCCTCGATGCATGCGGCCCAGGCCGACCCGGGCCCGCGGCCTGTGCGTATCGCATGCCGTGCCCCGTCTGCTTCCGTCTCCGCCCCGCCCCGCCCCACCCCTTGGCGACGACGCCTGACGACCTCCGCCGCGCCGCGCCGACGACGAACTTGCCCTGCTTGGGGCGCAAATGGGGCACCAACCCGAAGGGCAGAGTCAGCGACCTGGTTCCCCCGCTCCCCTCTCGCCTCTCTCCCCGCCCTCACCATGAAAACGAACGAGGCTACAATGAGTCCCATCAAGCCTGCGGCGCGCGGCGCGCGGGGCACTCACTCTAGACAACTCCAGTCTAGACCGGGCATAGCCGGTGTGGTGCAGTATGTGTGTGAGTGTGGGGGTCGCGCCACGCCGCCGCAACGCATGATCCGCATGCTGCGTGGTCCGACTCTCCGCTCTGCTCGGCACCCCTGGCGTCGCGGTGGCCTGGCCTTGATGTCCCCGCGGCCCCTGGCGGGGTCGGCGCCGGCAGCCGTTACTCAGGGGGCTTTCCCACGCGCTGGCTGGCGGTGTGCGCGTCGTCGCCGGCGTCCTCCTCGACACCGGCGTCATCCCTGACAACGGCGTCCTCCTCGACAACGGCGTCCTCCCCGACAACGGCGTCATCCCCGACAACGGCGTCCTCCCCGACAACGGCGTCCTCCCCGACAACGGCGTCCTCCCCGACAACGGCGGCCTCCCCTTCGACGGCGTCCTCCTCGATGAAGTCGTGCTCCTCTCCATCGCCGCGTCAGAGGTCGCCGGACCAATTAACGGGAAAACGATGCGATAGTGGGAACACTGTGGGCAACCTCTGTCCGCCCCGCCCCGCCGCCCCCGCTGCGGTGCTTATCTGCTCGTGTTTGGTTAGGTCGGTGGAGCGGCGCTCGAAATAGACTGCCTGCCGGGGCTGCGGGGGCCGTGGGGCCGTGGGGGCTCTGGACAGGGCACGTTGCGGCGCGTCGCGGTGCAGCCCCGTCTAGTGGCCTAGTGGTGCTGCGGTGCCTCCCACCCCTTCCCCGCCCCGCCCCGCCCCGCCGCGCCCTGCACCGACAGTCCGACAGTCGTTGACTCGGCGGTGGGTTAAAAATACGCAGGGCAGGCCGGCAGGGCAATGGTGTGGGTGTGGGTGAAGGTCGCGGCGCCACGCTCGCGGTGTGGGGCGTGCGGTGCGGGGGTCGGCCAGGCCGAGGGCCAGGCCCTGGCGGCTCCATCGTCCACCGCGGCGACCACGCGCGCCGCGGGGTGGCGGCTGGAGGCCGCGCAGGCCGCCGTGCAGGTGGAGGCACGGCGCGGATGATCCGGATTGTCTCTGGCCTTGATGACGATCCGCGGGACGGCCGGCCGGTCGTCGGAAGTGGTCCAGCAACGGCGACGGGGCGGGCGCTCTCGTTGGAGCCATCAAGGCCGCTCGGCCGATTGCGACCCACAAGCCACCCGGGGCCACAGCGGCCACGCGGCAGCCACTTGCTCGTCGTTTTGGCGGGATATTTTGAAACGGGGCGACGACAAGTGGAGGGTCGTCGGGGAAGTCCAAGTCCCCCCGACCCCGATCGTCGGTCGACGGAAAAGTGGCAGCGCGGCGGGGACGCGCATCGCCGCCTCGCATCGGGACTCTTGGTGACTCTCGGTGCGACGCGACGACACTGTAGACACGACACGCCGCGATAGGGTGCCAGGAATAAACGCCGAGAAGCCCAAGCCGGGCTTATTGATAACGCGAGTGAAGCCGGCCCGGCCCGGCCCGGCCCGGACCAGACCGGACCGGGGCCCCCGGGGCCCGGGGCCAGAGGGCTAGTGCCGAGGGCGGCGCGCGGCGTCTGTCCTGTCCGTCCCGCCCCTCAGGGCTGCGAGGCGAGGCGAGGCCCGCGCCCGCCGAAGTGAAACAAGAAGATCGCGCGCGGAAAAAAATAGCAGACCGGTCCATCGCGAAGCGGAAGTTTATAAATAGTCAGTCCCCCCTGCCCCGCGCGTCCCCCCCTGGCACGCGCGACCCGCCTCGTGCTGCCTCGGCCTGCCTTGTGGAGGTGATGTGGTGGGCCAGGACCTGGGCCAGGACATCGGCCAGAGTGGCGCGGAGAGGTTCGGCGCTGGGCCCGCTGGCCCGGGAATAAGTACCTTCGCTCCTGGATCGGGCCGGTTGGCTGGACCAACCTAACGCACTTGACCGCCACGGCCACGCACTCCCTTATTCCGCGGGACGCTGCGCCACTGCAGGATGGTCGCTCTGTCTCTCTCGCACTCCCGCGGGGCGCCCCACGAGTGCGAGGGAGACAGCGACAAAGCCACTGTTTGGAATGGCTGCGCCGTGTGGCCGTCGCCGGTCGGTCCTTCGCGTCTGCGTCTCGGCCAACGACACCGACGCCACGCGCCTCGAGCCCCAGGCTTTGAGGGCCGCGCCACCGCGAGGCGTGGCGCGCAAGGGCACGGCGGCGTGGCAGGGCGTGGGCGCCGCCCGGGTTTGGCGGTGGATTAGCGCGGCCGGGGACTAGGACTTCTTGGGACCATGGCAGTCTAGTGAAGTGCAGGTGATATTTCCCGCGGTAAAAATAGTCCGGTAACCTTGCCCAGCGCGGCGGGGCGTGGCGCGGCGCGGCCGGGGAGGGGCTTAGCGGTCGGAGACGAGGAGGGCGAGGCGCCTGTCGGGCCGTCCTTGCCGGAGTGTGCCAAAAGATAATAAAGGAGGAGAAAAATAACATTGTTGACGTTTGCGTCCGGGGCCGGGGTGCGAGAGCAGTCGCGCGGGCGTTCCGGGCCGGGCGTGCCGGGCGCGACGCGGGGCACACGCCGGCCAGATTATCTCTTGTTTTTTGGCGGCTGCGGACGGAAGCCCCGGTGGCTGCGGGCTGCACGGCGGCTGCACGGCGGCTGCACGGCGGCTGCACGGCCACGGTGGGCAGGAAGGGCGGCCGCACCGCCGGCCGCAGACTGATAATGATGCCGTCGTCGTCCACCTACAGTGTGCCAGCGGCCGACGGCGCCCTGACCACTGCAGAACGAGGTGCGGTGGCGGCCACTGCAGACTGATTCCGGGGCCGCCCTCCCCTCTCTCTCGCACTCATGGGACGTCCCGCACAGGTGCGAGCATAGACAACATAGGGTGCGAGAGAGACGACCGACGGCTGCGCGAAATGACTATGCCGGTGGCGGCGATAGCGTGGCGGGCCCGGGCCACCGGGGCCCCACCGGGGCCACCGCCACGGGGGGCGTTTATTTTGGGCCCCGCGAGTCGGGCCGCGCCGGGAATTAAATGGAGTCAAAGTTGGTTGCGGTTGGTTGCCAGGGCCTCGGCCAGGGCCGGGCGCGGCGGCGCGGTGCGGCGGCGTTCTGCGCGGACAAAGTCCAAAAGCACTTACTGCCACTGCGCGCTGCGCCGCGCCGCTGCGGCGGCCGGCGGATCCTAAGAAATGCGCGTCGCCGTGGCTGCGCGCTGCGCGCTGCGCGTGTCTTCGGCGGATCACTGACATCACTGATCACGCCAGTAGACTGATTCCGAGTGGGAGGTCTCTCTCTCTCGCACTCATGGGGCGCTCCGTATACCGGTGCGAGAGAGACAGACCGACGGTCGCACTGTGCGGAATCAGTCCACAGATCACGCGCCCCAACGGGGAGAAGCAGAATCCGGCGTGTCACGATCGCAGCGCCTCGTCATCTTTGGCACCTGCGCCGTCCGTGGACCGCTTGAGACAGCGCTAGAGAGCGGCACCACGCTCCCGTGCTCTCACGAGGACGACGCGGGCCGTGCCCGTCCGGTGCGGGTCCGCCCTGTATAGACTGATTCCGGAGTCGTTTTCGTCGCTCTGTCTCTCTCGCACTCATGGGCGCCCCGTATAAGTGCGAGAGAGACAGAGAGACAAATAAACGATTCTCGGAATCGGTCTAGGCCTCCCGGTCATCCGGCGTTGGGTTCGGCATTGAATGGCGCCCACGCCGCCCCCTCCCCTCCCCCTAATTTCGTGCAACCGACCCCTTCCCTCGCATCATCGAGGCTTTCCGGGAATTCCACCGCTTACTTGAGACTAGGTGAGGTGGGGGCTTCCGTTCGCCTCCGTCGTGGCGTGGCGTGGCGCCGTCCCGACCGCCCCCTGTTGACTGATTCCGAGTGGGAGGTCTCTCTCTCTCGCACTCATGAGGCGTCCCGTAAGGGTGCGAGAGAGACCGGCCTGCGAAAGCACTGTTCGGAATTCAGTCCACCACTGGCTGGCACTAGTCTTGGTCTTGTTGGTGCGGTTTGCGTGTTCAGATGGCGGGTGGCTGGCCGGGCCGGGAGGGCTGCGTCGCCAAGGCCTTCTAGGGCAGGACCTTGTAGGGTCAGCCGCAGTCCTGCCATCTGCGGATGCAGTGCAAACAGTGTATGCATAGCTACCAGAGCTCCAGCCCCCCAGCCCCCGTCGCCGCCTCTCGGTCCTCGGGCTGCATCCCGGCTGCGCGGCCACCACCCAAATCGGAGTACACTGCACATGGAAGTGGCAAATGGTCTGATGAGTCGCGTCCGTTTGTCTGTTCCAGAACTCGTGGGATCGTACCGCAGTGTAGAGATCTCACCAGTCTTCTCGCACCTGCCCCACAAAGGTAAGTCGCTCCCCCTGGGGAAGGCCCAACAAAAGTCTTCTGTATACGCCCATTGACGGATACCGAATAGTGCTTTCGTCGCTCTCTCTCTCTCTCTCTCACGTATGGCGCGCCCCGTACGGGTGCGACAGAGACAGAGCGGCGAAACACAGTGCGGGGTGGAATCGTTCTGCTGTAACCAGTCCCGCCTCGTGTGCAGACATGACCCGTGAATCTCCCGTGGACAGTCCGTTGGTGGCCAGACGCCACGACCTCCACAACATGAACGAGAGCTTTCACCTCGACCCCGGGCTTCACGCCGAGGACTTCCAGCAGCAGATTCTCAAGGTGAGTCCAACGTTGGACTGTGGGACATTAGGTGAATGTAGCGGCGGCGGGGGAGCCTCCTTGAGTCACGGCCCTGGTTCATCGGCCTGAACTTGATGTGTGTTGCAGTTGAAGAAGCACCAGCAGCTGCAGCAACAGATACTTCTTCAGCATTACCAGCAGCAGCAGCAGTGTCTGGCGGAGCAGCACGAGCAGCAACTCCGCCACCACCTCAAGGTGAATTTTGTAAGCCCTTTCTCGCCATTTGCCTTGGGACTGAGTTGAGCAGCAGGGTGCTGAAGGGTTGACTCTGTTCCAGCAATGGGAGCAACAGAAACAGCTGGAGGAGCAACGAGAGAGAAGGGAGAAGGAACGGCTGGAGGCTTTGCGGAAAAAGGACAAACATGAGCAGAGTGCTGTGGCATCTTCCGGGGTCAAAGAAAAGCTGCAGGTATGTTTCTTTGAATCATTTTGAACCAACTGTTGGGGACCCTTTTCTTTTTTTAAGCATGTTAATCATTTTCTTTTCTTGTAGATGTTCTTGCTGAATAAAAAGCAGCGGGAAGCCATGCCTAATGGTTCCTCACCGGGTCATCAACTTTCGCCATCGACTTCGGCCACTTCACTGGCACAACAAAGCCAACAGTCACCCAGTACGGTTGGGCAACCTTTCAGAAACTGGTAAGCTGCATTAGCACTCTAGTCCCTTTGATCTAGTCCCTTAGATGAGCTGTTCATGTATCCAAATCATTATGCTTTCCTAGGAGTGTTCTTCAGCCTCCTGCTCCTGGAGATCCTGGAAGCCTGAGTGCTGGTCCTGGGCACAACGCAGTTCATCCATATCGTCTCAATCCTCTTGTTGCAAAATATGAAGAAGATTTTCCTCTTCGGAAAACAGGTAAGAAACCTGAAGCATGGTTTTCTCAGTTGAAAAGAATTTCTGTGTGTGTTCATTGAATAAGCATGGGACTTCCAATTCAAGTTTTTTTTTAGAAGGAAATAATATTGTTGGAATTTCAACAGATTCTAACGTTACTTGTGTTGTGCTTTTTGTCTTGTGCTTCGTTATTAACTGATGCTCATGCATATTTTGAGTTGAATGTTCTATAACATTTTTTTTTTAATGAAACTTCTATCTCACCTGAGAAGAACTTGTTCACACCACAAATATGTGCCTGTGATAAAACTAATTTTCATCATGAACATGCAAGATACCAAAATACGAGCAGCTAGCTTTCAACTCTATTAAAGTAATTGCTCTTACTTTTACTGTCATGATAATTTTTTAAATGTATTTTTTGGGGGACTGGCGCGCTTTGCTTCTAATAAATTTATGGTTGAGTTGACCTCAGTCCCCCCGAACAAATGAAAAATTGTAGGTCTCAGTCTGGGAAGCAATCTGTATCTAAGTTCAGGTGTATTGACATCTGCATTTTAATAAGTTTTAGTGAACTCAGTCAGCCAATAATAGGGCCAGAGAAATAAATGGTGGTTGCAACATGTTTTCAGTTTTGCTCTTTTGCTCCAATTGTTTAGTATCTTGCATTTGTTTCTGTGATGATTGCATTTGGATTGTCTCTGATGATTTTTTGCATTATTTAGTAGCTTATCTAACACATTGTATTGCGCTCTCCCTTCCTTCCCTCCCTCCTAACTATCCCAGCCTCTGAACCTAATCTTCTCAAGGTTCGCCTGAAACAAAACATCCATCGCCGTGCAAACCCTCTGGCCGTAAGGAAAGATCGTCTTCAAAGAGTCACCAAGAGGAGGTCACATCTAGCAAGTATGACAAGTTTTTTTTTCTACAACTACCTTAAAACTGTTTCTTTTTTCTTTTCTTTTTCATTTTTATTGGATCTTTTAACTGTTTGCTTGGGAAAAGCTTGTTTGAAAAGTGGATTGAAACATTAAATTTCTTTTTTTGATTTATTCCATCTTGTTTCGTCAATTATACATAATATTTGTGCATTAAAGTAATTCAAACAATAATTCACCATTTTTCCGGAATAACCTTTGTTATTCAAATGTTTGTTCCAGTGGAAGTTAGTGGTAGTAACCCTGACTCAGGACCAAATTCGCCTCCAGGATCTTGCAATCGTCAAGCTTCACCATCTGCAGGTGGCCGAAATACACCTATTCAGGAGGTAAGCACCCATCACAGAATTATAGAAGTCCCACTCCATTACAGAATCACAGATTATTCTTGAAAGGATTTTGTAATGGTTCCTTTCCATGTACTTTTTTTTTAGGAGAGTGAAAATATGAGCTATGGCCAACTTATCGACAGCAGCGTGCAGGGTAGTATGAGTGATCTCTCACTCTACAGCAGTCCGTCCTTGCCAAATATTTCCCTTGGACGTCCTCCTGCTCCCTCAAGCACAAGGGTAAGGAAATTTGTGAGGTGTTTCTGTGTTTCAAATGGCAAAATACACTTATTCTTTATGCTTCATGTGTGGATTTTTCTGCCTTTCTCAGGACGGAGGAAAACTTGCCCCTGTTTCGGAAGCTGAAGTACGGGCCGCATTCTCAGCACGACTGGGAATGCCATTGACTGGTCAAATCATGCCGGGCAATCTTCCATTTTATCCTACACTTCCTGGTGAGCACTAAAAAAAAAAAGTATCCCTATACTTTTAGTGATGTACTCTTTATCTCATACCTCTGTCCCTTTTTCTTTTCCAGTGCTAGAAGCAGAGTATTCAAATCCCACTTCTCCAAGTTACATTCAAAAACAAATGCAGAGTCTAGAGCAGGCCCATGGGCCAGTGACTGTGGGCGCAGGCGCTCCAGTTATAGCTTCACCCTATCATCCTCCTATCACTGATTCACAGGTTTGTCGATGAATTTCAAGAATTTTGAAACTTGCTTCTGTTTTATATCCATTTTCATTAAAACTTAAGAGTATTTTTCCTTTATTCAAAGGTTGCCCATGCACGTCTTAATAAGCGTCCTCTAGGACGTACACAATCAGCCCCTCTGCCACTTGGTCACCCTATGCTGACTGGTAGCGGACTTACAGTAGTGCAGCAGCATCCAAATTATGATGAGTACCTGCTGCAAGAAAAGCAGCATTCCTTACAACACAGTCTTCTAAAACAGGTTTGATTTCTGAAATGCTTCAAATCTTTCATAAAAATATTTGTTCCCTTTTAGTTGTTAACTCTTTACTATGAAATGTTTACTTTAGCAAATTCGTCAAACTGTGCTGACTCGTGCTAACAGCCGAGGACTTTCAACCAGCAGTAGTGGAGGGCAGTTGGATGAGACTGATGAGAATGCTGAAGTGATTGATCTGACAGAACGAAGAAATGAAGACCATGAAATGTCAAAACAACAAAGAGAATTTCTTCAGCAACAGCGGGACCTGAGGATGAGACACCACACTCTCAACATCAGTGAAGGTGTGTTTCAACACAACTCTTTTTTTTTTTTTTTTTAATATTTGATTTATTAAGATCAATACCAATACTACTTTCATTTCAGGTTCGGCATTTACTCCTCGTTCTCATGTAGCTCGTCCATTGTCTCGGGCTCTTTCAAGCCCATTGGTGGCTTTGGGAACTACGGATGGTTCTGGAAGCATTTCACTTGGGGTGTCTAGTGCAGGCACTACACCCAAAGTTTCAAGGTAATATGGTTTTAATCAAAATTGTTGTGTTTGTTTTTCACTGCTGTAAGAGTTTTACCAGCCTTTTTTTTTATTTTTCAGTGGTGTGCACCGGCTGACAACTGGTCTAGCATTCGATAACACAATGCTGAAGCACGCTTGTACCTGTGGGGATAACTCTTCGCATCCTGAACATAGTGGTAGACTTCAGAGTGTGTGGGCTCGCTTGTTGGAAACTGGTTTAGTTCAGCGCTGTGATAGGGTGAGGGCCAGGAAAGCCTCACTTGAGGAGCTCAAAGTTTGTCATAGTGAAGCTCATGCCCTGCTCTTTGGTAAGTGTCAAAAGGTTTCTTTAATACTTCTTATTTTGAGCAAACTGGATTAATTGTACGTTTTTAATTGTCATTTTTGTGTCTAGGTACAAATCCTTTGAATCGTCAGAAGCTTGACATGACCAAACTGGCTCAGCTACCGATCAAGAGTTTTGTTCGTTTGCCTTGTGGTGGTGTGGGAGTTGACTCTGACACCACCTGGAATGAGCTTCATACAGCACCTGCTGCACGCATGGCTGCTGGTTGTGTTATTGACCTTGCTTATAAGAGTAAGAATATCCATTAAAGTTAAATGGTTTGAATATTTGCATGCCAAAAAAAAAAAAAAAAAGGATTTTACTAATACTTTTTTTTCTCAATATAGCTGCAACTGGAGATATTAAAAATGGCTTTGCTGTCGTGCGACCTCCCGGCCATCATGCAGAACCATCCCAAGCAATGGGCTTCTGTTTCTTTAATTCAGTAGCCATTGCTGCGAAATTAGTACAGCAAAATCTAAATTATCACCGTATTCTCATCGTAGACTGGGTATGTTACCTGAAACAGACCTGGTTCTGTTCTGAGGTTTGTAATTATTTCACTCTAATACTAAAATATTTTTTGTTCAGGATGTTCACCATGGCAATGGAACTCAACAAATGTTCTATGATGATCCCCGGGTGCTGTACCTTTCAATCCATCGTCATGATGATGGTAATTTTTTCCCAGGAACTGGTGGCCCTACAGAGGTATGTAATGATTTTTGAACATTCCATAATTCCATTAGGACATGCTGTTTTAGTTAGTCTTTAATGGATATCCATACTTGGTGTTTCATTGATTTTGTAATGTGTTTCAGTGTGGTGAAGGTAAAGGGCAGGGCTTCAATGTTAATGTCGCTTGGTCTGGTGGAGTTAATCCCCCAATGGGAGATGCAGAGTACCTGGCAGCATTCCGCACCATTGTGATGCCAATTGCAAAGGTATACCATGCAATAGTCTATATCACAAAATTTTCTTAGTTCCTGTTTGCCAGCTTCTTCTTATTTTGAATCAACTTTTACAGGAGTACGGTCCTGAATTAATCCTTGTGTCAGCTGGCTTTGATGCAGCGATTGGCCATCCCCCGCCTCTGGGGGGCTACAAAGTGTCTCCTGCATGTTTTGGGTACATGACACACCAATTGCTTCCTCTTGCAGATGGCAAGGTACGTTCATACATAGCTGAATGATGAATGAGGTATTACTTATTTTATTTATGAAACTTTAAATTTTACTGTTATTTTCCGTAGGTTGTCCTGTCTCTTGAGGGTGGTTATGATCTACCAGCTATATGTGACTCTGCTCAAGAATGTGTAAGAGCTTTGTTAGGAGATGACACGTCCCCTTTGAGAGAAGAGGAACTGCGGCGAGTGCCTTGCCAAAACGCAATTGATACTTTACAAAAGACCATCGCTATCCAACAACAGCATTGGCCGTGCCTTAAGCGCTTAGCTCATACTGTTTCGTGTTCTGCATTGGAGGCGTCTCAGAAAGAAAGGGATGAAACCGAAACGGTCACTGCTATGGCCAGTTTGTCCATGCAACATCCAACCAACAGCATGCAGTATGTATTGCTAGCTCTGGATGCTTGATCCTGTCTTTAAAGCATGATTTTGGTGTGTAAATGTTTATTTTCTGCTTCTAGATCACCTGAGCATTCCCGTGAGACATCAGAGGAACCAATGGAACAAGATGAAGTGAAATAAACTTCTTTTCCTAGTTTTCATGTTAAGATGTACCATTATGAAGAAGTTTTTCCACTGCGATTACTTTCTTTGAGATTCCAAAAGCCGCCATGTATATTATGACAAATATTCTTTGGGATAGATTAGATTATAGTACTCCAGATCATTCCCATGAAGAGGAAGTGTATGAAAGAAATGGTTCAAGAACTGTCTGGGTGTTTAGGGGGAACTTGCTTTCCACCTTGTAGATTGATCCAGGATCTCTTAGAATTCTCTCTTCAGTTTGCATGTTGTGAATTGTGAAAGGTGTTCAATATTGGGATAGAAACTAGTAGCTACATTTGCTTTTGTTGCTCAAAAGTAGAGAAAGGAGTTTGATGTTACTTAAAGTGATTCTGTCATTAAATGCTACAACAGAAAGTAGTACATAATTTCTTAAACAAAAACAAAATATGTTTCAACATGTGTATGACTCAGAAATAGATTTGATGCATGCATATGTAACCAAGTTTCAGTGTAAAGGCTTTCTTTTGAAGAAGATGACTCCAATATCATTTTCCCTACAGATTATCTTAGGAGGTATGTTCCTTGTACTCACTTCTATTCCATTTTGTGTATGCTTCTTTTTAGCATCTAGAAAATTTGATAATAGTTGTACATAAAAGCCATGAATGCACCTAGCTTCATCATGTCTTACACTCTCCTTATTCTATTCATCTTTCTATTGAATTGTAACTATACACAAAATCACGTTTTGTATACTGTTTGCCTTTCAATTAGCACATGTTTCTGCTGTTTCCGTGTTATAACTAAATTTATTATTCATCTTTTATTTGGCTCTGTTTTCAAATTTTGCCTCTTGCACATCTGTAGGCAAATTTCCTTCTGAAAGCCTTTTATGGAGTTTAATGTGATTTTTGGCTATTGTGGTTTGTTGATTTCTGCGGTCATAATATACATTTGCTCAAAGCTGTCATTATATTTTGAGTTATAGCCTTCGTAATACCAAACTTCTTTCTTCATTGTTACTGTGTTATATTGATCAACTGTCAAAGTATCATTCCCTTTTATTTTATACATTAAACCCAGAGGTAGACACTTAGCAAGGCAAAGAAAGTCCATCATGCTTGAATTCCAACCTAAGGCAAATGATGAGTTCATGTCTTTATAGTTAGGTATCCTGCTGGACCAATCTCATGCAAGTGCACTGGGTATTTTTATTTCGTTTATTTGTAAATATGCATAAGATTCTTTTTTTTTTTTTTTTAAGGAAAGGTTTGTGTTCCAATTATTGATGTATATTGTGTACTTTGAAATGTGCCTATTGTTAGTGTATGTATTCACAAATTCTAAAAGACATGTTATATCATAACAGAAAGTAGTATTGTTTGAAAAATTATATATGTTACATTTTAGTACTTTATGTAGTGTGTATTTTGAAGTGCTGGTCACTCTTGTACTACTTATGAATAGATCAGCTATATATAACGAACTAACAGTAGCAGTTTATTATTGTTTATGTTCTTTATTTCTGTTGTCTTGTATTTGTTATCTTAGTGTCATAATGTCTATTTCAGAATCATCAATATCACCATTTCACTCTTTTTTCCTATTTCAGAAACTCTTCACTTGTTCTATAATTATCTCATAGTCTCATAGACAGATTTATTCATACACATTCACATTATCCCTTTCCCTTCTTCCTTCATGTTTGCCTGTCTATCAGTCTCAATATCTCTCTCATCATCACATACACACACATGCACACAAGCGCACTCACCAACTCTATGTATGTGCCTCTCCGTTCGACTCATTCTCCTGCAATTATAATTACTGAGCAAACATTCTCAGGACTTATGCAGGTGTTAATCTCATCATTATGTCTTTATCCTGTCACTTTCCAAAGTGTGTGTATAAAATGAACTTTCCTAATCTTAAGAATATGTGTCTAGAAGGAAATATATGTGCAATTTTTGTGATATGCATGCAAGTTTTATGAATGAAGTGAATGTAAGTAAAGAGGCATTTATTTTTATGTGAAGCATTTCATATATTTGTTGCAATTTTGAGTTGTAACCAGAAAAAGTAAAGTAGAAATATTTTTAATGACGTCTTTTTTTTATTTTTTACCTTTTATTGAGGTGCACTTGTGAGTAGCACCAATTTCTCCATTCTGTTTTGGATTTCAAATTTGCAAGGAGGTCCATGAATTATAGCAGCTAAGAGTGCCTAAGAAAATTTGAATAAGCTAGCTTTAGCAGCTGCAGTGTGGGTCAGAGAGCCTGTTCAGTAGAACCCTGACCCAAGGAGAAGAGAGGGCTTCAGCTTGTGATCTGTGTTAGGATTGTCAAGGATTAAAAGAAACCAAACAAAACTGATTTTAGATTCATTGCATTTCACTCATACAAATAAATTGGCTGGTATTTACAGTACAAATGTCATTATTTACAAACAATGTATCACAAAGTCAATAACTCTTTATACACCACATATCAGCACGTTAGAAAACAGTCTGCTACGACTTTAACCAATTTTGCGATCTTTCTTGCAGTTGCACAGAAATAACATGTTTAAAGCCAACTCATTACACAAAAATCACGATAGTTGTCTATCACATTAATCTGCATATTATACTGTAACATGAATCAGTTGTGTGAGAGCAAGAGTTTTGGAACAGAGGTGCTCCTGCATTGCAGACCTTTAATTTTTCCTTTCACAAATAGGAAAAAGCCATTCCACTTACCTGAAAAACCACTTAACACTTCAGCTTTTTGCTGTCTATCTCTTCCCTCCCTCTATTTTGTTTACTCAATTATTTTTATTTATTTTTTTGTTTTCTTCTTTAAACACTGGCTGGCATGTTCACAGCTTAACATGTAGCCCAGGTATCCCACGCACTTAGCATTAGTCATGTGTCTGCACGTCTCTTCACACTGTTGGAGGTTCTTCTGCAGCCTCTGCTAATTTTGACAGGACAAAATCAGGGCTAAAAGTACAAAGACAGATAGAAACTGAATGCTGAAGAGCCAACAACTGTTGGGCATTACACAACAACACTTAAGAGCTGAGCAACATTAAGCAAATGAGTTGCATGGTCAAGAATGAGACTCAATGGTCAACCAGAAATTACAACTGAGCTTGAGCAAATCTCATACTACCAGACATCACATTGTAAGCAAAAGAAAATCTTCAATAGATGAAGTCAGATATCTTCCCTCTTGCAATCAAATGTTGACTACATCTCTTTGGCAGTCCAAGGCAAAGCCTATAGTGCAATTTTTCTTCCTTAAAGATATGAGTGAATTGCAACAAGGGCTCAGAAGTTTTCAAAGCTGATTTACTTCAGGGGGGAGTAGTTATTCAATTTCTCTAGGCATTTAGGTCATTTCAGATACTGGGCGAGTCAATAAAATGTCAAACTAAAGTAGGTACAAAAAAAAACCTATACCAATTAATAAAATCAGTCAGTCATGAAACCTAATTGCTTGAATAAAATTTGAAACAAATACTGTATTGCCCAATAGATTGTAAATCATCGAACTCTTCTACAAACAATGGGTACAATACCTAATAAATGTTGCTTTGTTTAGCATGTTGGCCTTGCGTGAAAAATTGATTCCTTTCCATTAAGTTTTTAAATTAGCTAAACTAACAAAATGTGATAAATAAAATCTGTATAAAACAGTAATGACAAATTAACAAGTATACAATTCTTTTGGGCACCAGACCAGAATACAGCACTACACCAAACTGATCATGTCCATCTCACTATACCATTACAACCTCTATACTTTTTCATTGATGCAAAGCTCAGAATAGACTCTAGGGTAATTCCACACCCACCACAACAAGTGTAGTAAAGAGCTTTTTCACCAAGTTTTACAAAAAATTTAAGTTTGTCACATTACCAGCACTATTCCAAAAACAAGGTATATTCTCTGATTAGGAACTTTTTTGTCGTGTTCTTAAGAAATTAAAATACAAATATTTCGAGAGTTCCAAAAATTTTGGTTTCAAATGATTCATATACCAGTTCTTAAAAAAATGAAAGGCACAGGTCATTGTGATATTGCTCATAATACATAAGAACCTCTCCACAACCATAACCATGAAGTAGGCCCTACTTTCATGCCAAAACCAAATGCTTTGAGGGAGAACACTTCACATAAAATAGTTATTAAAACAATAGCAAAGCATCACAAGAGATGTGCAGTAGGGAAGATCTAGTTCGACACTTGAAATTGGAAGGACAGCCTGAAAGGGAGTGAGAATGCAAGAATGTAAGGTGGGGAGGAAAATGCACATCCCTTGACATTAGTCATTCACAATAAAATATCATCTAAACCTTAGTGTTCAATTAGTAAATATGTCATTGCTTTCTCCTAACAAATCTACATCAACACTTTGCAGGAGGCAGCACAAATTCATTAACACTATGCGGTTTCTGCTGACTGAATGAACTAATTAAACAGTTCCGGCCAACTGATATACACCCAACTAAATGGGTAAAACACTAAAAACCAGAAATCAACTAATAGTTGAAATCTTCTTTGTAATTATGAAATAATACAATCTTATAATTTTGCTTACTGGGCTTAAACACATGGGAGCAGCATTTCACTACCTCAGGAGGTGAAATCTTTGATTAAATGAGAAATGTGGAGGACTGTTTCAAACAAGAAACATTGCCAATGTATGAAGGCATCAAGTCATTTTTTCAAAGACAAGGGAGAAGGCCAAGTCATTAGGAAGAACGGAGCAGAAAGAACAAAATCTGTTTAACGTATATCATATCAACTATTTACAGTGCTATCATTAACGCTTGGAAGATAAATGAATAGCACAAAATAAAAGTTGTGACTGGCTTCAAAAGCCAGAAGGCATCAACAGCCTTGATGCTCCATAACTGAACAAAATGCAGCACCAAAGTATCAAAGTTGACTGCATATGTGAACAATTTCTTAACCAACAACCACTCATGCACAGGTTTTTGAAACTAAAGTTTTGAAAAAGTGTACAGAAGTTAATGTACTTCCAAGAAAGACCATTTGTAAATTCCATAAAATTTAATTTCCTAAGATGTTTCATGTTTTCCAATAGTTCAGTATATAACGACAATATAAATTAAGGAGACTGCCTTCAAAACAACATGCTTTCAAATAAATTAAATCATTTCAAGAGTACATAATGTACAAACACAGATATTAATAGGCCTCTGACAACAATTGTACAGATTTGTACATCATCCTTGAACTCAAGTCCGATCATTAACTACGCCATTGGTAACAAGGTTCTGACAAAAAGTTCATTTAAAATTAAGACAGTAAAATGCATTATGAACCTACACCAACATATGGGTGGCAAAGAAGATTAAATACTCAAAACATTAGTTTCTGGACAAGATGCAAAAGCAAAATTAGTTTCAGGAAAGCAAAATGTAAAAATAGTTTTTGAGTATAATGGGGGAACAGACCATTTGAATAGCCTGCTGTACATTAAGAAAGTGCACACTGACAAAGGCGATTTTCTTTTACACTGAAGAAAATCTGCAAGACACAGCGCACAAATTGACTGATCCTTTGACAAGTGTGAGGTCCTAATGCCCAAAACACAGCTCACTAATTTTCAGGAGTGGAAAAGACAGCTCAATTCATTATCCTGCACACACATCTCATACTATTTTGACCAACACAAACTTCTACTCTCAAAAAGAATGGAAAAGTTAGCATTTCCAAACTAAACAGAAGTTTTGATAGACATGCAGAGCAATAATAAAAAAACGCTTTGCTCCTTACTTTGCTTGTGAGTGCACTCAAAACTAAGACCAAATTAATACGCTTGTCAATAAAACCAGTCACACAAAAGGCTAATGAACTTGATTTATCTTCAGTCTTGATAGAGCGGTTGCTCTTCAGATGTGTAAAGACAGCTGACTGCGTGGACGAGCCTTGTTGACCAACTGATGCAGTAGCCTCTCCAGTCTCAAGTGACCCTCAATTGTAAATCTTGATGGCTTTCTCAAGGTAGTTGAAACGGGAGCGTCTGGAAGCCTTATTTACGTGTTCCAAACCTATCCAAGACCCACACGAAACTCCTGAGGCAAGACAAAAATCAAATTAAAGAGAAATGTGTGAAGAAACAGTTGAGACAAGTTGGGCTACATCTAAGCGAAAGTGTATACTATTACCTTGAGAGGAGAAATCTTCTATGTTCATCATGTATTCATTCTCATCAATGAATATGACCTCCTTGTTTTTCATAACCACAGCAAACTTAATCTGAATGAAAAATTGAAATGTTAGTTCACCAGACCAACATCAATTATGTACCAATATACAGAACCTAGTAAAAAATTACAAAGAAGCAAACCTTTTCAAACTCTTTCTCCTGTCCACCAAGTTTCTTCATTAATCTTTCTTTCACCTTGGTGAAGGGTTCCCCCTAGAAATGTGGAAACAAGTTACGTAAGTCAGATGAGCAGAAGTCAGATTTAAGATAAAAGAAAGTACAGTAATGATATATTAAACTTACATTTTTAACTTTAACGAGGAACGGAATACCAAATGTTGTGTAGATAACTTTGTGAAAGTGAGCCACAGGTACCAGAATTTCGTCTTCTGAGAGGGCTAGTTCATCTTTAGGTATTTCCTCTATCCTGGATTGCAAAGATTACTCGTTAGCTATGACACCATCAGCAGTTAAGATCATGCAAACTTATTTAACAAGCAGGTGTACCTGAAAGCCTTATGAGTATTGCCACTTGTTGACAGAGTCTCTATTGGAGTATCTTCTTTAGGGCCAGGGAGAATCTTGCAGCAGTTTATTTCAGCGATTCTGAAAGAAAAAAAAATTGACAAATCAGCAACATAGAGTATGAGCACATACGTTCAATAGGAAAGGAAGAGTGAAAAAACTCAAACCTCAGTTTGCCAGAGCCTTCAGGAGAAAGTTCCACTTGCTTCCTGATTTCTTCAAATAAATCAGCAACAGTTCCGTTTTTGTTAGGATATAGTGTATGCTCCTCCTCCTTAAGCTTTGGGTTGATCCACAGAACCTGAGAAAAGACAAAGAATGGCAAGGGACATGTTATAGAAATTCGAAGTGAGAGTTTGACCACACTTCATAAATGAGCATTGAGATCTCACCTTGAATGGTCTTTTATTTTCCAGTTCACTGACTTTGATACTCAAAACCTCATAGAAAACCTTCCTGGGACCTTTGGGTTTGTTGTAATTAAGAAGGTCCTTCAGAGTTCCTTCAAAATTACAACGTAAAGGTGGGCCTGGACTATCTTTGTAGCTAATATTATGGAAAAAAGAAAGTTGCTGTTAGTAACTAAAGAAACCTCAATTACACACACACATTTTTATGAATAGAATACCAACTTTTGAGTTTTAAACATTTGTAGCTGATATGGATCACAACCAAGCCTTTCGGCAACTGCTTTGGTCAACTGATCATAATTCATTCGCTGTGACAACTTGAGAGTAAAGCCATTGTCACTGGGAATTGTCTTATCACAGAATGTCACTTCAACTCTGTGGAACAAATCCCTAAAACAAACAGATATTTGTAAGAAAACAACATACTAATAATAATAATGTAATCAAAAGCACATCAACGATAAAAAGAATTGGGTGTGAGATGATAATTACTTGAAGTAATGTTGGCAGGTTGGTAAATCATAGTTATTATCAGTCTCTTTTTGAAAGACAATGATGTCACCATCCATTAGTTCTTCTAGAACCTAAAAGCAATCAAAAGTAAAAAAAATGCATGAAGATCATCTAATTTGAAATAGATCATGAGCAGTTAACAATTCACAATAGATAAGAATACAGTACCTTTTCAAGTGACTCATTAAGATTTTCAATACGTTCTACCATGTTGGGTTTAATTTCCTCATACAGGGCCAATTCTGTATCTGGAGGAAAACCAGCACGCTGGTTTAGGAGCGGCAATAAATCCGCTGGAAAATCAATACAAGGTATAAATTAAGTGCATCTGATTATACCTAGATTACGAGTCTCTGTTCTGCTAAGAAACCACAGACACTACTTACAAACTTTGGAAGCAACAGGCATGTAATGATGACCACAATAATAAATTTGTTTCATCTTAGGATCATAGAGTTTGAAGAATAATAACACATCAGCATCTTTGTCAAATGCAGGCAAGGAAGTCAATCCAGAATCTGGATTCACGACTTCAACAAAAATGTTCCATGGATTTTGGTTCTCTGCCAATTCAGCCAGTGTCTTGTGAGCATCTCCTTCAATATCAGCCATAAATGGCCTGAAAGTTTGATTGGAGCGCAGTTGGAATGGCCAGGGCCGGATCTGTTCAATGGGATATTTCTGTAAAATAGATAAAGCAAAATTAAATACTTCCTTGAAAAGAAACCAGACTTTCATTCCAACAAATTCAGCTTGAGCTTGTCACCATAGAGAATGCTAGCTGCTCCATTAAATCTTGCAGTGATGCAGTTTTCTTCATTCTAAGTTGTCTGTAGTAAGAATGAGCTCTGTCGGAATCATAGAGGTCATTGCCCTGATGTCCTTCAAAATTGTCCTCTAAAAGAACATTGATGTTCATGTACAGGTGAGCTTCGTTTCTCTCCTTCCTGCGGACTTGCTCCAGGCGCTTCTCTTCTTGTAGGCGCTCGACCAGCTGTGAAGATTTAAAACAGAGAATTAATTTGATGCAAGCAATAAGCAAATAGGTTTTTCTTTTTAAATAAAAGTGCTAAGCATTAAGACAAAATATAAAAACATATGCAATAGAGTAACAGACATTAAATTTTCTTTTCTAAAGAAAAAAGTAAGAAGTTTTGAGATACCTCATCAGGGATGTCTCCCTCTGTGACTTCCTGGAGAACATTATGGAGCTCTGAACTCCGTATGTAAACAAGCATGTAAGCATTTGTGCAATGCTTTACAGTCATGTTCATATCTTCATCATGGCCTCCAAAATTGTGGTCTACTGCTTCTTGCTTTGAACAGCGTGACACCACATCATCATCAAACTTACACCACTGCAATAAGACATTTGAAATAAGAAATCGTTGAATTCAACAAACTGTTAAGATTCGGTATAAGTTGTATAGCAAGATTCATACCTTGCCATCACCTCTGGGATTGATAAACACAACATAGTGTCCTCCGTGATTGTCTCCACTATGCACCAACACAGCATGAAGGATGTATTCAGCACTGGTAGTTTCAGATTGTTGAAGATATTTATCTAAGTTTATCTTCTCATAAAATTCAAACCTAACAGCCGGAGATAAATATTACACATAGAAAATATAATTATCATACAGTATAAAGGGTTTTTATTGTATTGCATTTTCAAACCTGTCGTTAAACTTCACTGAGCTGTCAGTGATGGGGTCATACTGAAACCTCATAAGGTGAAGGTGCAGCACAGGAGGGAATGAGGCAAATATAACACCCTTCTCAGCATCTTGAAGGCCATGCTCACCAGCATCATACCGATTGTCACCATCCAAGGATTCAGTGCGAATATAGTCTTGAAATGATTCCTCAACTGTCAATGAATAATGGGAAAACCAGGTGAGATTAGTACAGCACAAGCATGGTGCAGATATGGTAGAGTCAGCATCAAAAGAGCCTTTTGCACAGAAAAACGCCAGATTTACTTACTGTTTCTCTTTCCTTTAATGTTAAGTTGAATATCATAGAAAGTTTCCTGCCTACTAGAAGTGTAGGAAACATTCTTGCATTTGATGAAAGAGATCATCTTGCCTTCAAAGAGCTTAGGAACAGTTCCTTCAACACAGGTACCTTTCATTTTGCTCTCTAATTTGTCAAGCAACACTCTAAGAAATTCCTGTACATCGTGCTGCATGAATGAATCGAGGGTTTCCCAACCGAAAGATTTGGTCAACTTTTTAGTTCCAACAGGTTTATCCAAAAATTGCAACTCATGGAACACTCTTTGAAGTGCCAGAGCCACACTTTTGGATGAGTCGTCACTCTCAGTTGGCATTTTATACACAGCCTGAAACATCGAAGATGTTACTAAGCATAACAATCACCAAGATGTTGATTGAGCTAAGAATTCAGAGGACAAGAAAGTATATTACCTTCCTGAGCTGGTTGGTGAAAAACAATGTTTGCAGCAGCGAATTCATGTAACACGTTGCACCTTGATTTTTCAGACCTACATAACCAGTGTGTTTTTTGGAATCCCAACTTACACCATGAGGTGCATCCGCTTGCACATGGACTTCCAAAATAATGGAATCATCTTTAATATAGCCTTTTTCAGGATCCAGAATGTCTTCCCAAGTCATGAAATGGCTGAACCCCCAATCGTTTTCCTTGGTGTAGAATAGATGCTGGATTTCTGAAACAAAAAGTAATTGTTTAATTAATATTCTAACAAAAGGTAAAAATTAATGACAACAATTGAAACAAAGTCAAAACGGAACATACTTCTAGCAAATGGCTCCACTCCATCTTTCTGGGGCAAAAGTCTTAGCTCCGCACTTGCATAGCAGCTCCAAGATGGTGATTCAGAGTCACCATTGCACTGGGGGGAAAAATGTTAAAAGGGATGAAGATGGATGATAATTGCACAAGATCATGACATTTAAGAACCAATAGATAACAGTCCCAAACCTGCAGGAAGAAGCCAAGGCTCCGGCTGGGAGGCCTCTCTAGACTCTGATTGTAGCGGGGCATCACCATAATCTTCCATGGTAAATTTCTCACAAAGTGAGGTGGGGACAAGGTCTGCGACTTAAGCTTGCTGAAGTTCTTCAAAACATACTGGAACCTCAACTCGGACCGAGAATCATCTTTAGAAGAAAATCAGAAAAACACACAGGTATAACACAATAGCAAAAGACCATATTTTTAAAATGAGAAAGGAGGAGGAAAGTGGTTAAGATCCTCCAAGCAACTGTTATTTACTGTACCCATGTTAACCAAGAAACATGTACGTACCATCCTCCATTTCAACATCCTGGATTACGTTAGTGTCTTGATTTTCTCCGAAAGGCATGGGGCTGTCATCCATTATGTCTCCACCACCAGAGTCATCATTCTTGAAGGGATCGCCAGAAACTTGTGTTTCACCATCACCTGTGTCACCTAAAGAGGAAAGAAAATTGCTTGGTTAGTAACCAAAAGTTCAACTGATATTGTTCAAAGGCACAAAACTCGAGCATAAGTTGTTAACATGAAAAACGTACAAGGCTAAATGCATTTTAATGACACTTCAAGAAAACATCTCATAACAGAAGAGCATATAGACAGTAACAGAATCTGACAGGACAATTTTTGGCATAGGCCTTTAAGGGGCTAAGGAACATGGATTCAAAACATGTCTTAGTGTAATCCCCTGATGAGAGCAAGGATTTGAACTGAAATGAAATGTTGTTTGATTGTTTTTGTTTACTTTACAGAAAAGCCAACTAAATTCTAAAATTTCAACAAAACCTTAACCTCACTTTGATTTGTGACACAGCAAATTCCTTGGAGACAGAAATAAAGTTCAATAAAAGCAAGTCCAGTCTAGCAAAACTATATTGGAAATAAAATAAAGAATACACACAGAAAATGGGGAAAAACACATGGACGCTATCTGATAATGAATGACCAATCAGACAAGGAATAGAACACTACAAATACTTAAAAAGTTGTTATGGAGTGTTAACGAAACGGGGCACCAAGTGGAACTTGTCCGAATTCAAGATTTCGATAACAAGCAACTTGCGTTACAAGACGGACTTCCTAGCTACAACAATGAAAATGGCCTGAATGGCAAGAGAGCAGAAAACAGTAGGTTAGGGGTAGGTTAGTGACCCAACCCTCGCTCAACAAAGGACAAAAAGAGATTAAAGGCCACAGATATATTCTAGAATTCAAAAACGGTTCGAGCATTTTAACACAGAAACAAAACTAGAGCATCAACAAAGAAGGAAATGAAATATCCGAATGGACGCCGCACATTCGGCTTTCCAGAAATACTCACTGTCTTGAGTCTCCATGTCTTCAACTTCATTGTTAACAGCAGGCTTGTTGTGTACGTGATTCATGATGGCAACAACAGGATTGTGGCCCAAAGATTTTAACTTCTTGAGGTTGACTGTGACCGCACTGTCTCTGTCTTTTCCGGGAGCGAGAGAGTTTTTGCCTGACACGGTCACTTTGACGTGTTTACTAAGGAAACGCCCAATGTCTGCTGATATCTACACCCCCTGTTTCCAGGGGAAACACTGGAACCATATATCTGTCAGAAAAGTCACTTTCGCACTATACGACAAAATACGGACAATATTAAATGAACGTCACTCGCTGTGTCGTAGGACCACTCGAAAATAAACAAAATGGCGGCTTGTCGCCTTTTCGATCAAAAGTTCAGCCCAAAGGCAGAGAAGAATACCCGGAAACAGAGCCTCGAACGAAAATGCCACCAACCATTCAGAGTTTGTCATAGGGTCTTTTTTTTACGGCAACGTGACAAAACTTCGAAAAAAAAGTTTCAGTAAGAAGCCAACAATAACAATTTTAATTTGAGTGTCATTCTCCTTACAAGAAACTCCATCGTTCCGGGACACATGCGATTGTTTATTTTTATCTTTTGGCACTCCTGAAATTTAGCAGAAGATGGGCGGAAACTATCAGTGTGTACAACAACGCTGGTCGGTAATAACAAATCTGAAAAGCACACTGAAGTTTGGAAGGAGTACATTGATCTCATTTAATTTTCAAGCTTCCCTAAGAACATTTCCAATATATTTAATTAAGGACAGATTGATTTCAGCTGTCAGACCGGCTTCCCCCCTCCCCCATTAACTTTTTGCGCGAGATCCACGATCCCAGTGCAGTGCAACGCATGTGTTCTGTGTCTAGTGAATTTCCAACCTCTCCAACAACATGGTCGTAATGAAAGCTTCAGAAGATACGAAACCTCGTGGTAAAAATGCCTCGAAAAATCAAGATAAAGCCTTACTCGTGGCTCAGGAGATCTCGTTTGCGAAAATTCTTGCTGGAAACGATAAGAAATTGAGAGACAGAGGCGTAAAACGTCTCAAAAAATGGTTGAATGCTCGGTCGAACAGTGAATCTGGTGAGTTCCTAACTATTTCAGCTGACAATATTTGTATCTCATGTGTTATTTTTTCATTCAAGCACTTTTTGACTCTCGTCCGAGCTTGTGCTATCTTTGGAAACATTCAATAACTTGACTCAATTTGAAAACGCCTTAGTTCGAAAAGGTTATGTTGTGTCCCTTCCCAGTATCATCACAGCGTTTACGACGCCTAACTAGATGTCTCTCTGTGCATTGCCATTATTTTTAACTCATTGAGTACAACACGTTTTTGGAGATACTGAGACTCCTCTCACCATACCGAAATTTTGTCAACAGCTCTGGAGAAAGATGACTTCATGCGACTCTGGAAGGGACTCTACTATTGCATGTGGATGGCCGACAAGCCCCTGATTCAGGTCAGTCCTCTTCTTTTTCATTTAAAAAAAATTGTAATGTTTGCTAACTGCGTTTTTGTAATGTTTATTTTCATTTAGGAAGAACTTGCTGAAACGATTAGCTCTCTAGTCCACAGTTTTGATCTTACTGCTCCTGCTATCCTATTCATTGAAACTTTCTTCAGAACAATGTGCATTGAATGGCCAGGCATTGATCAGCATCGTCTGGAGAAATTCCTCATGGTAACTGATGATGCTTATATCCTTATGCTTCTAAACATTGGATCTCACTTCACTGTTGTGAATTAAAAAATTTCTTGATTTCCAGTTTGTCAGGCGGTTTTTGAGGCAAAGTTTAGTTTTGGTGGAGCACCAAAATTGGAATTCGCAACTAACAGACTCACTTTGTGAGGTCTTCGAATCAACTTTGTTACCTGATCATGCAAACCTTCCCAAATCTGGAGCACCTCTAGGCCTGGTTATGCACTTTGTAGAAATATTTCTTGAAGAACTTGCTAAAGTAGGTGTCACTGTCCACTCTGGATAAAATTTGATGCTCCATCTTATAGCACTTTTATATTCAGAAGTTTTTTTGTTTGTTATTTTATAGGTGTCCAAGGGAAAATTAAACGAAGCTGTGTTATTACGTGTTCTTAGAGTTTTTGCTCAACATATTGCAGCTGTTCGTGATGCTCGCATGCGATCTCACATAACTCGGCACATATTTATCAGATTAATTGAGCAATCACCTGTTGGATTGGAATTCCAGGATAAATTTAGAGCATGGCAAAAGGTATGACACCGTTTATTTTTAGCATCCTTGTTTTTTATGGCCAAGAAAAGAAACCCTTTCATTTATTTTGTACATTCTGTCACAGCTGGGTTTTCCTGGAGGTTCCATTGATGTGATGGAAAGAGCAGATGATGAAGCCAATGAGGAATCTGATGAGGGGTCTTTAGAAAATGACCATGACAATAGTGAAGGTCCTCTTGACCCCCGTGCTGGTGCAGTTCATGTAGAGCTTCCTTTGATAAGTTTTGATGCTGCAAGTATCGCAAAACTTCTGGGAGAGTTTCGCTTTAAGAAGTACACTAATGCTAAGACCAGGAAGCACATTGCTGACTTGATCAATAAATTTGAAGATCTTGCCTCAGGTAACTGTCCAATAGGCATGAAAAAGGCACCTCATGCTCCTAAAATAAATTTTAAGCAGCTTGCTCAAAAAGCTGCTGAGAAACTTTTGAATTATGAATCTGAGTTGCTTGATAAAGAAGACAGTGACAATGAACATCTCTCTGGAAGTGATGTCGAAGATCAGCTAGAAGAAGAAGGCAGTGACAATGAACATGCATTTGGAAGTGATGTTGAAGATCAGCTTGAAAAAGAAGACAGTGACGATGAACATCTATTCGGAAGCGATGTTGAACATCAGTGTGAAGAAGAAGAAAACAATGGAGGCAGTGAGGATGATACTCTGAGAGAAAATGAAAAAATTGCAAAGAAACTTAAGAGACAAGGGAAAAGAAAAACCTCTGCACCTGAAAAGAAAATTTCTATTAAAAGGAAAGCTCCATCAAATGATCAGAGTGAAGGGACATCATCTGATAACATAGTTTCTAAAGTTACCAAGAAAGTACAAGGTGACAAAACAAAATTAAAAAATAAAGTGTCCCCTGTAAATTCTGTTTTCAAAACAGCTTCTGGCAGTGGAGTGGACGCTGAAGTGGAAAGAGTTGACATGGTTCAGATTTCAAATGGAGCTGATTCTAAAGTTCACGTTAAATCAATTGATGAGGCTGATTTGACTCAGAAGGTAGGTACAGGAGTACTTCTCCAGCACATTGCACCACATTTGACAGGAGCTAAGTCGAAACGAAGAGCATCTTGTGGTGGAAGACTTGAAGTAAATGCTGCCAATGATATGGCCCAAGTTTCAGACAGCCCTTCCACCAGCCAAGGTAAAAAACTGAAGAAGAGAAAAAGTATGTGGGATGAGCCACTTCAAGAGGGTGAATATGAAATAGTCATCCCTAGAGAAGAAATCATGGCAAGGAAGAAGAGATTATCTGATGCAAATGTCTCACTTAGTACTCCAAAACGAAGTATGAGGGTATGTAGAGACACTTGTTTCTTTTGTCCTGCATTAATTTTTTAGTGTTTTCTTTGTGCATTGGGTTGCCTTAATTCATGTTTTTTTTATTTTGGCAGAATCCTTTCGCAAGCCCAGCTCCTTCTTCCAAACCAAATACACCTGGTAGCAGTAGCAAGAAAGTTAATTTTGCACTTCAAAGAAATAGAGCTCAATGCAAGTATTGTCACCATCATCATCATCATAATTTATGTGTTTGTAATGTTCACTCTGTGATTTTAAATGTTTCTATTTTGTTTCCAGGTGAATCTGAATACTATCGAACTTTACGAGAGAACCCTGACGTACCATATGATGCCAACAAGGAACCACCACGAGGTGTTCTCAAACCCAGTCCATATAGCAGTCCTGTCAATCCATTTTATAAACATAATTTCCATATGTAGACAGTTTCTCCGTTAGTGAGGGTATAGGTGAGCAAACAGAATTTTTTTTTTATGTCTTTTTTTTTTATCTTGCTTTGCTTGATATTCTTTGAGGTACAATGTCAATTCTTTGTCATTTTAAAATCAAATTTTACGGACAAAAAGGTTTATCTTAAATTAATTGCCCCGATGACTTGTTCTAACCTTCATCCTATATGAAAGGCCAATTCAATTTTGGCCATAGAAACAATTACTGTATATAAAAAATGTTTGGAGAAACACATTTGATTGTAAAATATATCCTAAAAAGGAACTGAAATAACAAGATTTATATAACAGCCTTGGTTGCTCCCTTTTCATTCCACAGTACATTGTACTATTCTAAATCACAGCTAAATTCTATCATTATTGCAAATACATATTACCCTGTAATGCTTTTCTAAAGCTAATACCTAATACTGTGTTGATACTTATCACAATACTTCAGCATTTCCTCACTCTTCAGCTGCTCTGAATGAATTCTTGCATTTGTTGAAGATTGCTATTTGATTCAAGTACATATGTGGCAAAAACATTTGCGCAAGTGCATCAGGGAGTTAAACAAAATTATTACGTAGTTGGCTCAGAAACTTCATCTTCATTGGTTAAATTGTAGGGATGTGGGTTCTGTAATTGTGTTAGAATAGAAACGGCTCTGAAAACAAAGGGAGAAATGTTAATAGTTTTCAGTGCCATCTGTAGCAATTTTTTGTCCTTGAAGAAATATCTTACCCCAGTGAAATACAGCATATTGCACTTAAAGCAGCAGACAGAAGAAAAACAGCCCCTGAGAAACCATCCATTGTACTGTTGAAGAGCATGGTGTAGGCGGTGCCTGCTGCTATAGGTACTGCTGTCATGAACGCTGACAAAATCGAAAAAAGTTTACCTGGAAGCACAGATTTGTCTCATAATAATAGTGTATCTTTAGCCTTCTGCAGTTGGTTTCCAATCAATAATTTTATTGGTGACTTTTTTTTTCTTCTCCATGGTATTTTCTTACCAATGTGGTTTTTGGGAACCGTTTCAGATATAATAGCTCTGTTGAGCGGACTAGACATTCCTCCAAAACCCCCTACTGCACTGCTGAGGTACATGCACCTAAAATTTAATTGACAGGTATTGTTTAACACAGAAAAGTCAGATTGATTGAAGCACTTTAATGAGGGAAACTTAAAGCCTCACCATCCCGAGTTGCCAAGTGCAGCTATCACATAACTGATGGTTTTAAAAAAGAATGCAACGCATGATGCAAATTCATTGGACATTTTGAGGCACTTGGTGAACACTGATATGCCCCCTATTGTTCCAATCACACCAATTACAAATGATGCAT